GAGTCATTATGTTTGATATTAGGATTCAACCAAATTATTATGGTTGTCAAGTCTACTCTGAACAAAAAAAAAAAAAAGTTACTAAATTTTGTCAGCTACAAATGGTCAGGATTTGAGCTTTCTGTCTCAGTTGATCATAACACCTCCACTGGGTATGCTTAGAGAGCCTCCTATGCAAGAGATGGGGATACACTGTTCTGCTTAACCTATGCCTGAATGCTGACAATGTACTGGCACAAGGTGCAGTCAACAACTGGCACACTGAAAATAGACACTAATCTGATGAGCAATAGGTATGGCACAAAGTCCTGCAAACACTTAAGGCTGTTCAAAAGAGGTGATTAATATGAACATACACATACTTCCATTTTCTTTTAAAAATATATGGTTACAGAACAAAACTCGTGCTACAATTACTGCTGTGTTTCTTCATGGTATTCCTTAGGGAACTGGGAGCAATTTTATGTTGACTATGTTATATCACCGTAACATTTATAATGCTCACACCTGTGAACCTAAATAATGTGGTGGTCTTCCAGTTTCCTTTTTCACACACCTTTTCACGCTTTTTCAAACTGCCATCATGTTTATATAGATGACAGCTATTAGGGTCATAGTGGCTAGGCTGTCTCTTCTTTATTTAGCACTGGGCACGCTACCAGCTGCTGCCTCTTTGTGTCTATCTACTCCAGGAGCAAATTTATCATTTATTTTCTAGGTAACCCTTGTTTTGATCCCACACAAGGAACAAAGACGTATATCCCCCTTCTCTTTCAGCACATTCCTGAAATGAGCACAGAGAGGTGCTGAAAACAGCCCATCCCCAAACCAGAAAGACTTCAACCAGGAGCCGATTTAACACCGAGGATCTGGACGGGACTCCAGGATGCTCTGTGCACCACATGTTCCTTCCAAGCCAAGAGGCTTCTCATAGCTAGTTTTCACAAATAGAACTTACTTCATGTCAGCAGAGACAGAGCATGCTTGTTTCTTTTCACCAGAACACAGATTACCAACTTGTCTGAAAGTCAGCCAATGTTTTCAAGTTCTCCTTCTCGGAGAGCATATCCTAAAAGAGAAGTAGGGTAACATCCTGTGCAGCAACATCATTCCCAGCAATGCCCGTTCCAAGCACACTATTTTCCCTCACATCCATACCGTCCCAGTTCTGCTGGAATCTATTGAAGACTTTCCCATTCCTGAGCATCTCAAAACCATCCTGTTGTATGGTCTGTGCTTCACCATTCTGGGTTGAAACTAGAGTTGCTATCAGAAAAGAGAATTTATCAAAAAAACAAGTATTGTACAGTGTCATTACAAAGTAAATGTTCCATTTTGATCATGCAAGGAATTAAATCACAAAACCAGTGCAAGTTTGTTATCTTGACAAATCTTAGCAAGACATTTTTTCTTCAGTTAAAAGCTCATTGTGGCTTTTTTCCTCCCTTAGTAGGGCCCCATAAAGGCTTTTTGATATCAATGAAAATCTTAAAAGGCTTTACTTAACAGTAGAACCTTAATCAATGTGGTTTAAAAGTACCTCAGTTACACACAAAGTACAAGGAGACAGTACCTTGAAAGTGCAAATTAGTAGGAAGAAACATTGTTACCTCTCCAAGCACCTTTTATTCATCGAATTAACTGCATAGAAAACTATACAGCGTGCCTGCATCGAGAATCTGAATCTAAAAGCACACAAAATAACCTCTTAACAGACATTCAAGTCAGGGCCGCCTTCTCTGTCACTCCTGAATAGCAGCTGTGCCCTTCCAGCCGCATGAATAGCAGGAAGCCGGGCTCTATAAATCCTGGCAACCACATCTTCCCTCTTTTGCAAAAATAGAAATTAGAAAAAGGTGCAGTTCCACCACACAAACTGGGGGTACTATCCACTGTTAAAAGCTGCCTGTAGAAATTCAGACACGAGCCCAAATTCATCATAATCTTCTCTAACCACATAGCTAATTAGATAACCTGGGCTCACAGCATTTTATTCGTGTTAACCACATTCAGCATAGTAGCAAACACTGCTTCCAAAAAAAACCAGAAGTTGGAAAATATTTATCAAGACATGAAGAAAAACAGCTATGGGACTACTTTCCAAATATGTACAGTAGGCTTTTGCATTTTGTTTCGGAAACCAGCAAACAACTGTTCACATTTCTCAAATTCTGCTTACATTTTCCTTTTGTTGCCAGTGTCTGGAAAACTGAATAGCGGGAAGATTTTGCAAATGTTGCCAAAGAGCAAGAGAAAGTGAGAGCAGGAATGGAGAGAAATGGGGAAAAAAAAGAATCGAAAGGACAAAAAGGCAGAGCGGAGAAAGAAATGTAGAGGATGTAGCTCAACTTAAATTAAAAGTTTGAAGAAAACTGTGCAAGGCATGCACAGCACAGCCCATGCAGACAACGTCCACATGGTCCAAATATTCCCATTTAATATACATAAAAACGTAACAGCTGTAAGTTAGGAGGGAACATCCTGAGAGTCACTCAAGTTCTTCCACCTAGAAATATCCTCGCCTCTGCCTCTCAAGTCACAGCAAAGCCCCATCCTTGTTTTCACAGATGTCGTGCAGAACGTAGCACAGTTATTATTCCAGACAGGTACTATTTTGTTGCCTCAAGCCTTCTAGTTTGTACCTGCCATCTACCTTTCAATTTCCCAAAGGCATGCTGCATTGTCATCCTGCAGCTGCTTACACGGTGGTTAAACATTCCTTTTCTACAATGCAAATATCCAGCCAAAGGCTTCCTTATTAATGTTTTTAGAGAGTAGAGTGAGTCTCCAGGGATAAGAGGAGGAATGCTGATGCATCACATTGCTGCCTCTTCCTTCTGCCCAGTAATGCATATGGCCAGCTATGCAATAGTACACATGAAAAAATATTTCCTTCCTGACCCTTCTTGAGGTAGCAATCATTCTGTGCCCTGAAGCAAGATATTTCCTTTTACTTATATATTTTCTAATTTCTCCCTTACTCATCACTGAAAACCAGCTAGATTTTCTGAAATATCTAGCACCTTATTTTCCACTGAAATATTAAATTACCATGTAGTTAAGAACAGTTTTCCAGCACACTGAGGAATCAAGCTGATAGAGCTGTAGATGTCCCTGTTCACTGAAGGGAAGTTGGACCAGATGACCTTCAAAGGCTCTTGCAAACTCAAACAATTCTGTGAAACACAATATGGTTTTTTCAATAGCATTACAATGACTTGCAGAATGGAGATGTTTTTAGATAGGCCAATTTGGCCATGAGGACCAGATGACAATATATAAACATTTTCATTGAGATATAGGAAACCACAGATGGCATACCATATATGGATTTCCAAGGTAATACACACACATCATCAGGAAAGGGTATTTGGATGTTCAGGAGCCAGTCCCAGTCATTGCTGATTATGCCACGGTCCTGATCAAAGGGCTGGAGCATCACTCTTAGGAAGAAAAGTGGAGTTGGGCTTGTTTAGAAGGCTCATGGGAGACCAGTACTTGAAGAGAACATATAAGCAGGAGTGGAACCAAATTTTTACATGGTCTGGAAGAGATAGGACAGGGGGGGAAGGCTTTAAACTAAAAAATGGGAAAATTAGGTTAGATGTTAGGCAGAAAATTACTCAGAAGGTGGTGATGGTAAGGCACTGACACAGGCTGCCCAGAGAAACTGTGCATTCCCCAACCCTAGAGGAGTCAGGGTCAGGTTGGTTGGAGCCTTGGGCAGCTTGTCAGGCAGGTGGTAAACCTGCCCATGGCAGGGGGTTTGGAAAACTCAGTGTTCTTTAAGGTCCCATCAGACCTAAGCCATTCTACAATTCTACAATTCTCTCCCATCTCACCTCTCCACACACTTACTTGAAGATCCCAGTTCCTCTGTTCCTCTGTTGTCCTTAAAGATCTATTACAGATTTGGAAATGGCGCTGGCTTCTTGAAAAGAAGCAGCTAACAGACGGCATGAGAGGAGCCATGGGTCTCTGTTAGAGCTTAATTTTCAGCAGCAAGCTTTGGCTCTATCTCCAACCAGGAGCTACAGGCATAATCCCACAGAGTGGAGCTCAGCCCGGCAGCAGCACAGACACTTGGTGAGAGCCACGCGCAGCTCAGACGCTGCTCGCTCACATCGAAGCAGTGACCTGTCGAGAAGCAAAAGGCTGTTTGTTACAAAGCCTGTGTTTTGTGCCAATTATGAGGCAGTTACACTGAAAAAACGTCGCTTTGATGTGAATCTCTTCAGGTAGTGAATGTTAAACACCGCACGCTGCTGGGTAGGTGTATGATTTTGCAGGATCGGAGCCCGCATCCAGGAGTAATTAGCAAGACTGTGCCAATCTCCAGCCCGTGCACTGAACTGCTGGGTCCGATGCAACGGCTCCACAGTGGGGTATCGTAATTAGCAGAGATGCAACACAGTGAATAATTGGAAAGACCAGGAAATGCCAATGAAGTTTATATAAGGAAAAAAAATTTCCTTAGATCTAGACAATCTCTCGTCACCATGAAACTTCAGGCTCCTCTTTCGAGGGGGTGTGAAGGAGCGCCGCTGTTAAAAAGCAGCAATTTTCTCTTCGCTGGGACGAAGCTGAGGGGGGACTGAGCTCCTCCACGGGGAGCGGAGCCGGAGGAGCCCAGCCGCACTCACAGCCCCGGGAGGCCGGGACAGACCCCGCCCCGCGCCGTGCCCGCAGGCCCCACCTCTGCTTTCGCTTTTCCTTTCGCTTCCGCCTGCCCGGAGCTCAGCGCTAAGGCAAGCCCCGCTGCCGGTTCCCTGCCCCTCGGGTCCCTCGGGCTTCGCACCCCTCCCCTCCGCCCCTCTCCCTCCCGCCTCGCACCTCAGGGCGCTGGAAGCGCTCCGGCCATTCGTGTGGCTGCACAGCCGTTTCCTCGCGAAGGGCACGGAGCGTCGTTTGCAGTCGGCGGCGCCGATTTCCTCCACCTGCATGGGTGGGACCGCTCCGCTGGGGCAGCTTCTCCTGCTGCCTGTGGCCTGCACGCTTTCCGTTCTTTCCTAAGGCCTGTACGCTGTTGATACAGACAAAACAGAAGTTAAAAATTGAGATTCCATCCTTGGAAGATGGTAGAGTTTCTTTCAAGCCTATTTGCACGTATCAGCTTTCTTCCCAACACGCTTCTTTCCAGATCACGAAAAATTTTCCAGCAGCTAATTGTAAGATCTTAAATCATAAAATGATTTTCACTTCTGTTCTTATGTGCCGTGTTCAGAGCGGTGTTAGACAAGAGACTTTTAGGCATTCACCACAGGCATGTACATGCACAGGCGATGGCCAGGCATGTACTGCATCACCAGCAATCTATAGGTGCGCTTAGTTGGTGAAGGACCACATAGCATAACAAACTGGCAGTCTCCTACGCGTCCAGTTAGTGGTTTTGGTTAGGAAGTACTGAAATAACAGTGCTCACTGAGAGATGCTTACATTCTTGTACTTTTACTTGTAGATGTCAGGAGATCAGCATGCAGGCCGTTCCTCTGAAGAGAAAAGTAATGGAGACCAAGATGATATAGTCGATGCAAAACCAGACAGAAGTAGCAGACTCTCACTTTTTGCCAAGTAAGTTACTACTTTCATTTCCATTTTTCTTTTTGCCAGCTATGATACTGCCTTTCTAATGGGATTGCAGTGTTCAGTTTGCCATGCCCAAGTGCCAAAGAGTGTCTGCTAGGCAGCCTATGCTGTGTAAAGTCTGACATATTTAATCTGTACCCTACTGCTGAACAGCCTTCACACTGCTCTGATTTACAGAGACCTGTAATATCTCCCATCAGCTTACTTGGTAGTCGAGAGACCACTAAGTTCATTTCGCATCAGATGTAGCCCCTCATCTTAAACACTGCCCTTTTGTGGAGCTGGGAATTAAATATGCCATTAATAATCTATTTTGCTGCATTCAGCTCTGCTAATCTCCTACATCATTGGAACCCCCTGCTGACTATTTAAGTTAGTTTAAAGCCTGGATGTGCCATCTAGACTGTAGCACAAAGAAGCCTCACTGAGTCTAGAGATGTAACCTATTACAGAATAAATTAAAAGCCTTTCATTTTAGCCCAGTAGACTCACCGAAGCATAATTTTACTTTCATTAAATGTACAGGCAGCAAGAATTATCTACTGTTTTACAGACAAGGAGCACATAAATGTAACCAAAAATGCAAAAGCTAAAAAAAAAAAAAAAAAAAAAAACCAATGTGCAAAATTAACAAATGCTGTTGAATATCAGGAAATACTAATTAATGTGGTAAACATATTGTATTTATTACAAATACTTGTATTTACAGAGGCTTAATTTTTTTTATTGTTCTTGGACATATCCACATTCAAGTGAACAATATAATTCAAAGTACGTAAGGAATGTCATTTTATTTTTGTAGCACATTATATGAACATGATGGGTGTAACAAATCTGAGAGAGATGCGAGAGAAGTGAAGTTGCTTTCTTCTTAGATGACTTTTGATGTGCTGTTAAGCAAATCACTGAAGTTTTCTCTCATTTTCTCATTTCTCAAATGCATTTTAAGATGTATACACATTAATTTCCACAAATGCACATTATACCAAATAGACAATTTAATGTTTGTTCCTAAAACTTCAAGTATTTTCCCAAGTTTTCTTTTAAAATTTCTAAAATGCGTGTTTTAAAGTATGACATCTTCTTTAGAAGAAGCGATATGCTAATATTGTTACTCAATTATGCAACTCAAAGTTAATCATTCCCAAAGGAAAAGCAAGAATCAGCACTTCTATCACTTTTCTTTTTCATAAGAAATTTTCCAAGTAATTTGGCTATTCATCAGCTTGAGACATTCATCTTTTGGGAAATCCTTGAAGATACAAATTTGAAACATCTTTTGCTAGAAGTAGAAAGGAACTCAGATAAAATAAATGCTGAAGAAAAAATATGAGAAGTCTGAGATGATTCAGTATAGATTTTGTAGTAAAAAATTGAGTCTGGAATTATCTATCAGTGCTGCTTGGCAAAAGCGATGTTGGCCTGAAGAGGAATGAGTTGTTCTACAGAGAGGGTCTTAAAAATCCAAGTGCTCTGATAAGGTCATTGTCTTATAGATACTCTCTGGCCTGCAGGAACACAGAAAAGGAATGTGAGAGGATAAAGGAAGATGGTTTAATGACCAAAAAGAGCAGCAGTCACAAAGGAGAAAGTGAATAGAGAATGATTGATTGCTCATTGGCCTCACAAAAAAATAAGAGACATCCAATGAAGTTTATAGAGTAAGATTAAAACAATCACTAAGATATATTTTTTCCATGGTACAGAGCAGAGTCATAAAATTTAAGCCACAAGATACTCATCTAGATTCTTCTGAACTCATCTGAAATAGCAGCGTATGCATGTGTGGAAATATTAATGTTAAAATCTTTGATATGAGATGCCCCTAAATCAGATTTCTGCAAGAATATATTCTGGACCAAATTTCTTTAGTTTGTTCTCTTAAAACTCATTACTGGTCAATAACAGATACTGGGCTCAGTTTGCTTTTAATTGGATCCTGACCAGCTGTGATTTGATGGCCAAGGCTCCTTTTTGGCAATGTAAACTTAATATTCGTTTAATTAAAAAAAAAGTGTCTAGAAAGCTTTAGATTGACTACACTTTTTTTTTGTTTTGCTGATCCAGTTTCTACCACCGGTGCAGTACTTTCATGGAGAGTGGCTCTGGGCAGCCTGTTTTGGTGGTTGGACACCCTGCACATAGCAGGGGGGTTGAAACCAGATGATCATTCTGGTCCTTTTCAACCCAGGCCATTTTATGATTCTATGGAAGTCAGCATACAGTTTCACTTATATATAAAAAAAAAAATCAAAATGTATTTAAATATAAGCTTAAAAAAAAATAAGCTCAATGAGAAAACAAGTATTTTCTACTGTTAAACAAGCATGTGAATTGTAATGAGAAAGAAAACAGAACAGCAAGAAACTAAAATCAGAGCTACGCAGACAGAGCAACTACTTCCAGTACCTTCACAGATACCTGTCTCTGGACAGAAACGTAGATAGCCATCGCAGTAAACAGAGATAGGTGAGAATCTTCAAATTTCTCTAATAAGACCATGACTGTGGCTCACCAAGCAGGAAGCAGAGCTCAGAGCAAGCCACAGACAGGGCAGACTCTTCTGTGTGCACCACAGTTTGGGGGAATTCTCTTCTGTGCATTTCCTTTTCTTGGAAAGAGTGCTACAACTTCAATAACGGCAGAAAAGTGTTTGGGATCGTTAGGCGGTTGTTGGTATTTGTAGCCACTAGATGGCAGAAAGGCTTTACTTTTGTTTACTACAAAATTTGCAGAAGACGAACTTTATGAGACCCGCAGTTGACCAAAAAGACTACGTTTCAGAAGGCAGACACAGCAAGATGCACTACGGCAACCTTGAGCAAAACAAGATTTTAAAAGACATGATAGCAAATATTGAGTTGGGAATTGAGACACATTTTTAATGATAATTAAAAGCAAACAGAACTTTTCCCATATAAACTTTTCTGTGCTGTGTGTGCTCACATCACCATCTTCGAGACCTTAGAAATAACCTCGTTTCTCCAAAAGATTATTTAGTTTCTTTACTTGGAATCTTCAGCTAGAGAACTCTGTTAGGAGGATTGAGGAAACATAGCAGCCAAACCTATTTGAGCATCCAGGTAGCATAATTTAGCATGGAATAGAATTCAGGTCCCATTGTTAACTAGAGCTAGAATTTCTCCTACTCCTAATGTGTTTTGTCATTTGTTTGTTTAAAGCTGCATCTAAAAATTCCCAAGGTTTGGTAGACCAGCACTCACATGTTCAATAATCAGGACTGTGAACTTCAGTGAAGAAGTATAATGCAGAAGAAGGTAGTTGTTAGTAATGTACAGATACCAGTTTTATACGCGTTAATTTTGTAGAACCCTTTGTCCTTTGGTTACTTTTATTCACTGCAGCCCCGCTGTCTGATGTACAGTCAAAATTTCCCTTATTTGGAAAGGGAAGATATTGTTTAAATATATATTTAAGAATTACAAATGCCTATTTACCACTGAAGCTGTGTGATTCAGTAGTATCTTTAGAGTAAAAAAGGTGAAATGTATTGTAACAAGAGCTCCATGAGTCTGGTGGGGTACACCCTTGTGTGCTCACTAAGAGTCCTCCAGCTGTTTAAAACAGTAGAAGTTATTTATTTCTACTAAATCAGGCCACCATAAAGTTTGGGACAACATTCTAATTAATTTGGAAGCTTTCTATAAACATCAGTGCATATCTTACTGCAACAGTTCAAGAGTTATGATGCCTACCAATAAAACAGCCAAAGTTTGTAAACCCATGTAACAATCAGAAAGAGCAACACAGTGGAATGGTGATACAGGAGGTGTAACAGCAAAGGCAGTAGTGCAACGGAAAGGCATTACAAAGGAAAAGAAGCGCTCACCCATCTCTGAAGATCCAGGCTTACAGAAAAAAACTCTACAAGAGAAGGTTCTCCAACCAGAGATCCCATCCTAGCAGCAGTCAGCCCTTAAATGAGGTCGAAGAGAAGTGCAGCCAGGCTTCACCCCTCTGGTCATGCAGCTGAATTGCCTTCACCTGTGCTCCCAGGGCTGACTCTGTCCTTTCCACAGGTGATCAATCAGTGGTTCAAGCCCTGACTCAACAGTTACCGTACAACTAGTATTTAGATTCAAAAGATACATAGGAATGTTGTCTTGTTTGTTTTTCATTCGTATGGTGTTAATTTAGGCTACAGGACACAAAAATAAGGAAGCGCAGTGTTACTTAAACTGTTTTAACTTCATGAGCTCTATCTCAGTACAGTCACATTTCTCAACATAAATAATCTTGTCCTTCAAAGAATAAATACTCATTTTTGAGATTCAACTTCAGCTGAACCTCAGCTATGGAGCTCCAAAGGAGTGGAAAATTGTCTTTGTTTCAGTCTTGTTGTTTTGTTATTCTTCCATTTTTTTCAGGAGGTGTTTTGTACCCAGTTTTGATTATCAACAGTTTCTTTATATTTAGTTCATAGGAAGTTTTGCAGTTAGTACTTGACAAAGAACAGTTTCACATAGTTTATATTTTTTCCATCTCAAAGCTGTGTATCTTTTCCAGAGTTGTCCATTTTATATTTTTGGGCCTTTCGGAAACAGTAGACTTGAATGAACTGCTTAGAAAAATTACTGCTAACATCATATGTTTAAGAAGTAACTGTATTTGCTTCTACACCAGCTGTTCCTGCCTTGAAATTAATATGTTCACATTCAGATGATGCTTTGGGTGATATTTCCTCTTTTCAACATAACTTTTTACACTTTTAAATTCTAAAATACAGTTCTGTTATAGGTTTTCCAGCCACAGAATATTAGAAACCTTTCAAAAACAAATACTGCTTATCTCTTTTATCCTTACATTGTGTACTACAAGTAAGTTACTTACTGAGTAACAGCCGAACAATCATCCGAATTTACGCTCTGAGCTGAAACCAAACTGAGCTCCTGCTTCAGCCACAGGTTTCCTTTCTATCTCTAAGCAAATCACTGAAGGCATTTTTTAATCCTATAAGTGAGTGATGATCTTTCCTTTTACTATCCTCACTCTGAAGTTCAGTGCAATTTCATTTTAATTTGTTTGGGGTTCTGCTTTTCCCAAGCTAAATACCAACATATGTCCTCCAAAGTGATGAACATATAGTTTCAGAAGTAATGGGTTCTAGGAACTCTTGTCTGCTAATGTTAATTCCTACACATACAGTGAAAGAGCTTTTAACAGACGTGATACAACAGAGGTGTTCCTTTTCGTTACTCATTCTTGAGCTGGAGGCTCATTTTCAGTTTTGTTATGATCATTTTTGTTAGATCTAGCTCTCAATTTCTACCGAACACCACAGGCATACAAACAGTTACAATGCTGCACAGGCATAGCAAACAGTTATAATGCTGCACAGTGCTTGTACTTTCCCTTGGACGCTTACTGAATGTACCATGTAGGAAATGCCCAATATCTTGAAATAGCACCTAAAGTACAAGAAGTAACTAATTCAGTTAGTGTTCACTTCCAGTCTCTTTGCAGACTTCCTCAGGTGAAGCACAGCAAACACTGGATTGTTCCTGAACTGTATCTGGAGCAATCGCAGCAGTGATCAAGTAGCCTAATTCCTTTTTATTGCAGTAATTTTTTCCTTCATTGCAATGAACTCTATGCTGTCAGCACTCAAAATGTGGAGGAAAGCTATAATACGTTTTAATATTTAACCTTTTAAAGGAACCACAATAAATTAAGCTGTATTTTTGAATAATCTAGAACTGCATAAGAGTAAGTATGTAGGAAATAGTTCTGTGAATTAGAATACAAAAGAGGTCTTGTAAACTATCTATGTTGATGTTCATCATTTTCTTAGAAGCATTCATTGTGCAAATATTGTACTGATGGTTGGTTCCGGTTCTGCAAGAAGGTGTGGAGTTGTATTAAAAAGTAAAGCTTGCTGTGTCACCTCCATCTCAAGATCTGCTCTATTTTCCTACTCTTATCTAGGAACAGTGACAGGATCAGAGTGTGTTTTCCACTTGTCAGCAGAGGTGGATCAGGCCTGCATGACCTCTGTTTGCAGGACGATAGCTGTGAGGGTTTGAATAGCCCCATAGAAAAGTCCAGTGTGACCCACTGCTGACACATGCAGATCTTTGGGCCTGAGCACAGGGCATCCTGTTTCATGCTCCAATCTAGCCCCGAGCATGGTGGGCTCCTAGCATTACCAAGGGGATTAGACTTGCTCTTGAGCACAAGTTGAAGTCAGATGCAGTGTGGAGTGCCATTTGATGATGAGCCAAGGTACTGTGGAAAGTTATTTACCTCCTTCCTTCCCTGCCACCTGTTTGGGAACCTCGTGAATGAGCACCCTAAGGGAGTTTAGTTGTGAATTATAATTCTTCTGGCATTTTGCAATTGGTAATCCTAGATAGAATGTTCTCCTAGATATGTTATTCGGGGGTTTTGCTTTGTTTTGAGTCATCTTCCAAGCAGCCTGTGTAGAAATATATATACCTGCTAATTGTTCATAGTACCTATGACAGATAAAAGAGGCTTTTTATTTTTCTTTTACTGCATACTTGTGAGTTGCCTGTGTACATTATTTAGGATATGATCATGCAACATTTCAGTTTCCAGAACACCTTTGGAAGGTGTATGTGCTCAGGTTTTCCAGAGATGAGCAGAAAGCCTTTCAGCAAGCAACATTGTTTTTGGAAAAATTCTACCTTTTGAATGGTATTTGAATATTATTCCTCCATACCATGCAGGAAATTAATCAGGAAGCTGAATTACAAATTGATCATTAAGAATCTGGAATTTACTCAGTTTTGGTCAACTGCATATGTCACACCACAGAATTGTCATGCAGGCTGTCAATCATCCACACAGTTTTTGGTGCCCAAAGATAAGGATGACAGTACCTCATTCTTTTTTTCCTTCTTTTTTCAACTGTTGAGAAATGTGGGCAGTATTAGACATAATAAACTGTGCTGAAACATTTTCATGAAGTGGAACTGGCTTAGCACCAGCGTGCTCCATCTTGTTCATGTATATGTAAGGAATAAAATTGCAGCTCTGATTTTGATTTCGTTATGTTAAGGCCATCAGTCACAGAATTAGAAGGATGGTGGGATATTTGGCACTATGGGACATGATTTACTTCTGGGACTCAGTAGGTCAGATTGATGGTTGGCCTTGATGACCTTGAAGGACTTTTCCAACCTAGTTGATTCTATGACTCTATGATAAGTTTAGATACATTTTAGAAATCCAAGAATACCTGTAGTATACAAAGCATGCCACAAGTTCTAGCCTGAAGCTTCTTCTTTCAAACAGCTCAACTCCTTTTCTTCACATTTAGTTTCTAGATGTTCTGAACTGGGTTTCTCTGTTTTCCAAGTTCCTAGAAAGATTTCCCCTTCTCTTAATTGGAGAAGAACCTGAAACTAAAATGGCACCAAAAAGCTACTAGGTTAGTTCCGGTTTTGAAAAATATCTGAGAGATTTAAAATGTATTTTACTTCATTTTTCTAAAGTTGAAAGGTAATTTCCTTGGAACAAAGGTAAAATATATGGAATATAACAGTAGGAGCTGGGAGGCACTGTCTGTAAGCAAAGAATTCATAAGTACATCCAACAGAGTGAACATTTACAGTGAGTAAAATCAGTTCAGCAGATCCCTCAAAGTGAGGCCAGCGTTTGAAACACTGCAACGTTGCAACATTTTATTTAGGCACATAAGATCTTTGAAAAAAGAGTTTTAAATCTAAGAGATGTTCTGCAGATTAACCAGAAGCTGCAGGTTTGTAGAAACTTCTGAATGAGATTTTCTGGTTTGTTTTGCAAGTGATCAAACGAGAAGCGTGCTCGCACACAGGTGAGTCAGCTACAGCAGTGAGCACGCTGGTCACACGTTGATTTTGCTCGCCTCTGCAACTGTTGCCCTTGTGGAGCTTTGTGGTAGGTGAGGCCCTGCTGTGGATGAAGCGAATAGACTTTAGATTGCGGTTTACGGGATGTGGAACACAGTCTTTCCTGTATTTCAGGGGAGTAATTGCAACCACATAAGCCATGTTAGATTCACTGTTAAGGTCCTGGGAGACTTTGGGGCTGTACTTTGAGGACTGCCATACTCTATGAACTGCAATCATGTGTATTTTGCAGTTGATGTGAAACTGTTAATGCCTACATGTAATTATTCAAGCTAATGATCAGTATTTGCTTCTGGACTGAAATCCTCTGTATACCTCCATCGTGCACAGTAGGAATGCATTTGTTCCGAGCACTGTTTTCCACCAGGGACATGCCAGTACACTGCTTCACCTACTCCAGGTAAATTTGCAAGACCGTGCAAATATTTGGCTGCTAAATATGGAATCACAGAATTGTGGAATGGTTTGGGTTGGAAGGGAGCTTTAAGATCACGAATTTCCAACCCCCCCTGCTGTAGGCAGAGACACCTCCCACTAGACCAGGTTGCTCACAGACCCATCCAGCCTGGCCTTCAATGCTTCCAGGGAATGGGCATTCACAACTTCCCTGGGCAGCCTGTTCCAGTGTCTCACCATCCTCACAGGAAAGAATCTCTGCCCAGTATCTACTCTAAACCTACCCTCTACCAGTTTAAAACCATTTCCCCTTGTCCTGTCGCTATACATCTTAATAAATGTTGCTTATGGCTCCTGTTCTGCTGTTGGAAGTGATGTAACATGCTACAAGAAACTTAGAAAATGCCAGGGGTTCGATTTAAAAAATGGAAACATTTTGTGGACTTTTTGCAAAATCTGTAACAGCACTGCTACGTATTTTGTAGTAGGAACCAAAGTAAGACTTTTGATATGACTGAAGGTATGAACCCAGACTCACCATGGGCAAACATGTCAATGAAAGCTTGGTTTGTTCCCAGCCCTATTAGTATCTCCGTAAGTCCAAGCAAATAATTCCATTGTTGACTTAACTCGTTTCTTTCAAGGAAAGAAATATTGCTACAACAATCTTGATTGCGTATTTATAGTTAGAAGGAGGATGTGGGGCACGTTTTTTTGGTAAGAAACAAGAGATACTTTCTCTGTTAATTCCTCATATCAGATTCATTCAAAAAAAAATCTTTTTCTCCAGTGATTTTAAATGATCTTTGTTCAGTCAGCTGGCAGTCTTACTGAAAAGACATCCTCAAGAAGTCATGAACTAATTACCAGCTTCAAATAAAGATGGAAGCTAAATATTTAGTATGGCTCTGATCTTGAGAAGGGTTACGAGCAGGCTTTCTTTTACTGTCTGACTAGTCCTATTGCTTTCAGTTTGCGTAAGCATGCTGGGCCATTTCCTGTCATTTTACCACTTCCTAAAAATGACTGTTCTGGCTTAGGAACTTTGGCAGAGTGTATATGAAGAAGAAAGCACCGATCAGACTCCATGTATCATTGATGAATATGAGCGTTAGACTCCAGTACTATCTATTTGATCAGTTTCACCATAATTTAAAATTTCTTTAAGGCTACAAGGCTATGAGAGGCACTAGGAGCCTAGGACTTTTTTCTGTGTTTAAAAGTTACTTTTCTGTATTGTGTTGTTTAGATTTGCTATTGTTTTTGAAATTGTTAGGCAGGTTTTCATTCATTTTGTGTAGTCTCCTTGCTATAGTAAAAAATATAGGTGAACTGATGGATATCATTCAGATGCTTTTAGGTGAACTTCTACTTTTTAGGTGCTATGTATCTGAAAAATAGATGGAAATCACATATGCTACTGTAGTACTCAGGAGAAAAAGTCTGAGAGCCTACAGTGTGTGGCAGGCAGATTGGAAACAGAGTGGAGATCTGTCAAAAGCCAATGTCACCAGCTGTGGCTCCTATTAGTATTTAAAGTGGATTTCACTTTGCATTCCAGCGTGTAGCATTGTTAGCATATGAGCCGGAATCACATAATCAGGCACAGTACAATAAATACAGTTTTAGTACTTGGACTAGCATTTATGGCTAATGCTTAGTCTTTGTCCCATATAATTTATGCTTTTTGGTTATTAACAGTAAAAGAATGATCATTTTATAAGAGATGCTTCAAATGGAGACACAATCATCTTGTCCAGAAATGTTGCAGTTCTGCCAACTTGATGCAATAACAATGGGAAAAGTCAACAGGATAATCTATTATTTGCATGCAGCTCTAAATCTACTTGACATTTTACCTAAACAAATCTGACAAAGAACAAAGAGTCTGCCTTGAAGAACTTAAGATCTAAAAAGCTCTGGTCAGGTTTAACAAGTGTCTTGTGCTTGTTATTACCAATAGATTTCAAGAGAAAAATAAATTCAAAGAGGGGAGTGTGTACAGTAATTAGAGGTGTACTAAGTATGGTGAAATTAGACTGGATGAAAGTATTAAAGCTGCACAGAAGTGTTAAAGCTGACAGCTTAGAGAGAAGGTTGTATAGGAGCAAGGCAAACCCACGTACATTCATCAGAAAGCAACAGACATGAGTAGACCACTGATTATTGAGACTAGAGTAAAAACAAAAGAATTAAATGCAGAACTTTGATTTGTCTAATTCATGCATTCTGTTTCTTGGTAACTTCCTCAGAAGGTAAAAATGATGAGGGGGCATCTAAGTGGTTAGCAGTAGAATAAAGAGCACTGAAGTTTTATGATATCTTCTGTCCCACAACATACAGTGCATGAAAGTTCTGTAGGTATTTGATGGGTTACCTGAGAAGATCGGTACTGTGGACTTCATCAGTCTGCCACTGCCATAATCTTCTTGCCTGGACTCAAAGGCTGACTACCCTATAATAACAAGAATCAAGCTCTTCTCCAATGCCAAAAGGTCTGGGGATTTCAGAAGCAATCCTGAGACAATGCGTTCTGTAAAAGACAGCATGTTTTATAAGACAAATTTTCTTTTGATAGAAACCTGTTAACAAGGTATTAAAAAGCAATATACAACTACCCATCATACTAATGGAGAATGTAAAGGAACTACAGGGAAAACAAACAGGAACCTCCTCCTATCCTATGAGAAGGAAGTGATTATCTTGAAATTTGTTTTATCCTTCTAATCCTCTGTCTGTTTGCCTATTTAAGTGACTGTTCTTTTCTGAAGAGCCTTGTTTCTGCCCTGGGTGTTTCTAGGTGTCACTGAATTGCTTGCTTTTAGGGCAGAGACACTCACATTTTCAGGAAAAAAAACAGTTGTCTGTCAGTTTCTATCAGTCTCTTTTTAAATTACTTTTAATTTTCAGGTTCAGAAAATGGATTGGTGTAATAGTTTCTACCCTAGATATTGCCTTTTTTTCATGTCTTCCTTCAATCCACTCCTCTCTCTTGAGACTTTTACCTGAGTCATGCTGCTACTGTTCCAAGGGGAGTCCATATATTACAGAAGACAGGCATTTTAAAAAATGTTTTATGTTTACTGGCTTTTAAACCTTGCACAAAGACGGACTTCATGGTTGGCATTAATTATGGAATGGAATGGAAGCAGAAGACCTCCACAGAAATATTGTGCTTTGCTTGAAGTTAATTAGAAGACATGACGAGAGACTGGAAGCTCTCCTGTTAAAGGATGCTATGTCATAATTCCCCATGGTAGCAAAGACAGTGCAGAGTGATGCTAGAAGAAGGGAAGCCAAAGGAGAGGAAATTGGGTCTGCTCAGAGACACTGTTTTCAACAGAACTGTAAAGATTTCATTTTCTTGAAAATAATCTTTACGTATAGTTAACAGGGGTGCTTTTATCCTTAAATTCTGATACCTTTACATATGGAAATCATAATTTACCAAAGCATAACAGAAAAAAAGTTTGGTGTGATAACTGTCATTTCTTTAGGCAGTCAAGATCTGAGTTCCTACGGGCGCAAATGAAGGTTTCTCCATTAACACTGACAGGATTTTCGTCGGTCATAATGATGAGAAATTTGGCCTTTGCTATTTAAAAGTTCAGTAACACAATGATAAATGCTATGGGAAACTTTCGTTTTGTATTTGAAATGTGAGAAGTTGATAATGATGTTTTTCCCAGGGTTGATGCTGAGTGTGGACTTGATGAAGTCACATTCCTAGGCATGCCGCTGTCAGGCCTAAGCCCTAGATTTAGAAACACTGTAAGAATAACTAGGAAAATGTGCAAGTTACTTGAGGATGCCAGAGTGGACTTTTGATTTTTCTGAACTCTCAGCTGAAAGAAGAGAACGTGAAATATGTGAGAGCAGTGATAGAAGAATGTTTCTGTCTGAGGGAAAAGATCAGAGTAGTGGAGTGAGGAATTGAGGCACGGCTGTAGTTAAAAACTAAAAGCAGAGGAAACAGTTGTAAAATTCAAGTTTCTGTTTAGTCTGGGCAAGTTTGAATCCAGAAAGAGGGAAATTAAAGACGTTGGATATCAGAGAAGCAGAAAGAAATAAAACTAAGAGCAGATAGTTGACAACAGTTTATAAAAGCACATAATTAACCCGTGGAAATGCTCTCAGAAAATACTGTGATTAGAAAGCTTAGAGAACAACAGTGGTAAACATTTATGTTAATGTGTCCAGTTCAAAGCGTAGAAAATCAAAATTTGTCTAGAAAGCTTTATGCTTTCAGTCTTAAGACAGCCTGTCACTGACAAGGAATTTCCCTTTAGGACTGATTAGTACATATTTATAACATTATTAGTCATTATTACAAGGTATGATTTAACTTGTTTAAACTGAAGAGTGGAACCTTAAACAATCAGCTTAAGCCACTCAGGCAATTCCCAAATTGCCCTATTTTGGCGTAGCAAACAGAATCAAAAAAAAAAAAAAAAACCAAAAAAAAAAAGAATTCTCCTTGGATTGCAGTGTGGGATAAGTGTACAGCACAACCTTTGCTTTCTTATTCATTCAATTTGGACAGATACCAAAAGATTTCTGGAACTATTTTGTTGTCTGCCAGTAAAGGAACGACAGGCGTAACCCCACAAGATACGCTGTGGTTGCTTATGATCTGATTATCCTGTTAAGCTCGGAAGCAATCATTAGAACAAAAGCATAGTATCCTTTGTGAAGGAATGGGGAAATTAAACGATGGATTCATGCGGATTGTTACACTGGCAAGGCTTGTCTGTGACCTTTGATGTTGAACAGCATAGAGCTTCTGGCATGCTTTTGGGAATACCAGCAGTAGCTATATCTCTTAAAGTCCTGAGAATTTCTGCATGAATGAGTGCAAACTATTGAACTCGGAAGTTAAGTGGTTTCAGAGAAGTTGTGTGGCTGCTTTACTGTGCCACTTAACCCCAGCTGCTATTTTCAGAGCAGTTCTTTGTTGGGTAATGTGACCGCATGACTTCTTGTCTCAAATTAGATTGTTTCTAGCATTCTGGAGTGGACAGTGTAAATATGATATTGCACCACATAGGTAGATCTATTCCAAGTGTTCAAAACTGTATGGATTGAACATCAACAGAAATTTGTGTAGAATACCCCTGAAAATATCTTAGTATATGTAACAGCCACTGCTAGTCGTACAGCATATTCAGGAAGTCAGTGAAGCTGGATAAATTTGTATAAACTTGAACAGGGCATGGGCTGAGGAAATTAGTCTCTTCATTGGCCTGAGTGCTTACTTCTTGTTTTGAATGTTCTTTTTCTCTTTTCTTTTTTCCAAAGAGTTGTCTTGTGATGTTGGACTAAGGGGAATTTTAGGCTAAAATAAGAATCCATGATCTCTTTGAAACCCAAATGTAACATTAGCATCATGCAGCTGTGGATAATTCTTTAAAATGGTTAAAATCTTTTCTTGAGGCTAAGCATATTTAATTATTGCTCTCAGAGCCCTCAAGAAGCAGTATGCAGGGAGAATACCAATATTTGGGTTTGACAGAATAAAACCCTGTACTTTAAGAGTATCAAAGACAATCCTCAAGTAGGTACAATTCAAAATCTTGTTTCACAGTTTCTAAAATAATTCTAAGAGAGGAGATGACAGTCAGATGATGGGTAAAAAAAGTGTAGAGAAAGCCTGCAAGATGCAACTATTTAATGTGGTCACTTATAACAGAGCATGAGGACACTCAAAGATAAGAAGAAACTGTTTTAAAATTGAATTGCCATGGCATTTGAACATAATGAATCATCTGGAGATGCTTTATTATGGTTTCCAGTTAGTCTTGCCCTTAAGTAATAAAAAATAGGACACTTGGAGACTCCAACAATTGCTAGAGACAACAATTGTTAAATGAGGAAGATAAGAAAGTACATTTCCTAAACATTTAATCAATCCACAGCAATCTCATCTCTCAAGACTATTAGTGAAGCAAATAGCTTGGGTAATTTTCTGGAAATATGTCAAAGTGAGAATACTGAAAGTACTTAATTGACATTATGGGACAAATCTAATTTTGTTTAAAAGAAATGGTACAGTACAGTTGGTTGTGCTGAAAAAATAGGTTTGTTTTCCGCTCAGACTGAAGCAATAAGTACTACTGGAAGCAAGATGCTGATACTTTCTTCTGCCCTTTCCCAAGTATTGTCTCTAAGCAGGCCTGCTCCAAAGCTTGCTTATATTTCTCATGTTTCATCGGAGCCTTTGAAGGCTTTCCTTGGCTTCAGTTCTGCTTGTGGAGATCACATCAACATCAGAAGTCACTTGGCTGGACAAAAAGGTCCACCTCAAAAAGCAAGCATTACTGAGTTCCTCGTGCTTGTATTTCAGGTGTGCGTGCAGGTTGTCATGGATTCATTCTATAATATTTAATTTAGAATAAATTGGTGGGTAGAGTCCATGCTGTCTCTCAGCATCTTTTTCTAATTCAGTCTAAGACTCTGTCGTATATCAGAAAGATCAGTGTACAGTTATTTTAGTGGAGAATGTTTACAGGATAAATCATATGTCTTCTCATCATCCTTGGAATAGTTATTAAGGAAGATCTGTCTGGGTTTACATGAATCACTTATAGTAAAATTAAAATAGTTCTTACATCCAGAACTGTAGTTTGCAAAAGACTGCTGCCAGCCTGGTATTTGGTCAAGATCTGCATGTCTGCAATTCACTCAGGGGTGATTTTACCATCATCTGTATCCAAATACTGAATGGAAATCATGAGACTCAAGCAATGAGTTATTATCTCTACATCTCTGTGTGAAATATGAAGGAAGAGAAACATAAGAGAAATAAAAACATCAGGTAGTGCTGCCCCAGTGGCATGGCTTAAGATAAATAAGCACCTTGCTTGTGACTGGTCATTAACAGTTTTTTCATTTGATTCACACAGGAAAAAGAAGAATGGAGAAGAAGAACAGCCAAAGCCCTCTCTCAGTAACCAGTACCGAATTGTTACACCCACATTCCAGTATAATATGAACTACAAGAAAGTTGGCAAATGTGTAATTATAAACAACAAAAATTTTGAAGACAAAACAGGTAACATTCTTTGTCCTGCTTGAGAAGGGAGGGCGAACCACATGACCTTCAGAGCTCCTTTCCAACCTAAGCCATTTTTGATTCTGTGATTCGATGACACTTATTACAGGTTTTAGAATTTTCATATTTTCATTAATCAGTAAACCTTTATTTTTAGGGCATGGAATTTTAATGACCATATTCACTTTAAGTAGCTGTTCATACTATTTGTTCCTGTTCTTTAAAACTTACATTAGAGTAGTTCTTTGTGGCTCCTTTGCAGTAGGTGGTTCAAAAAGCACGTCAGCTTGTTCTGCCAACTTCCAACTAAACTTCTGTCCTAGAATTTAAGGCTGTACTGTTAAAACCTGAACTTTGGTATCTGCGGCCCATGTCATCACTTCTCTGTCTCTGAGCTGCTCCTAATAGCTATAGCTGCACTACAAAAGCTAATAGCCATACCTGTGCTCTGTTCACAGTCTGGTGTCAGCTGCACTTTCCAGATTGCGTGCAGTTTTGAAACAGATATTTGTGAAATAGCCAACTTTGTAGGCTTTTTTTTTCTCTACAAGTTAGGCAAACAAATTAAATGAAGTGCTTATTCCAAAGAATTTACGTCAGTTTCCTTTAGGGGGTATCATGGGGAATCTTTTTTAACTTTTGAAGAGCTTTGTGCATATGTTACTCTGCATAACCAAAAGGAGATAGAATTCTCCACAGAGGTCCCATGTTTCAAGATGCTGGAGATAAACCAGCATTTTTCAGCATAAAATACATGTTCACATTGGACCTTGCATTATTTTGCATTGAAACAAGACTCATAGTTTGTTCTGAATGCCAAGGATGTTGTTAGAGGATTGTTTTAAATTCATGTCATCATGACATTGTTTATAAATTAAGAACATAAAGTTGCTTTTGGACATACAAATTATTTTAAATTGTGTAATGTGCAATCAACTGTACTATTTCTTTTCTGGTAGGAATGGGTACACGCAATGGCACTGACAAAGATGCTGGAGATCTCTCTAAGAGTTTCAGAAGCTTAGGTTTTGATGTTCACACATACAATGACCGAAGCTGTGAGGATATGAAAACACTACTGAAACAAGGTAAAAATTTAGAATTATAGAGTAATTTATTGTGTAAGGGACCTCTGGAGGTCACCTAAGTAATGCTCTGCACAGAGCAGGTCAGATTAGAGCAGAGTGCTTAGGCCCCACGAAGTGGAATTTTCTCTACAGAAAGATTTGATTTCTGAACAGATTAGCCTTAATTCTCCAGCTCCTCCTCCTCCAGTGTAAATTCAGAAATGCATAGTTTTGTTGTCATAGTAGTTGACAAATCTACTAAAATAATTCCATATAGTTAAGAGTTCAGCCTGTTGAATCAAGTGGGCTGAACTCTATGTTCATTTATTCAAGTTATTCATCACAGTCTTAAAAATTGGGCTGTGTTATCTTTACCTTCTCCTTTTTATGACTTCCAGTAGAGGCCCACTCTTCATTTAGTCTCAGAAAGATGTGTTTGATAAATATAATTTGTCATTTAAAACGTTGCCTCCTTTTGGCTAACAAGTATTTGATTTGTAGCTGCTGAAGAGAATCACAGTGATGCTGCTTGTTTTGCCTGTATCCTTCTAAGCCATGGGGAAGAAGGTCTCATTTATGGCACTGATGGACCCATGGCTATCAAACACCTGACTGCACTCTTCAGAGGAGACAAATGTAAAAGCCTGATAGGCAAACCCAAATTGTTTTTCATTCAGGTAAATATTATATCCTGCTGCAGTGGGGAAAACCTATTATGTCATTTGTTTTGTCGTGAAATGCTCTGAAAGTTATCTTGCTGAATTTGGTAGAGGTCTTGAGGAAAAAAACAGTGTGGAGAGAAGTTAAATACAGGTGACTTTTATCTTGTTTGCTTTGAAAAAGTGATTTACATGCAGGATTCTTAGATGTAAAGAACATATCGAAATATTCCTCATCCACTTTTTTGCACATGGATTCCATTTGTGCTGGGCAATACATGAACTTCAGACCATAGAGATAACCTCCATCTTGTGCAGACAGTGCTGAGAACAGTATGTGATTATCAATAGAAATAATTCTGTCCAAGTATGTTTGGATAAAGGCTGCATCTCCAAATTACTGCATTCTGCTAAATTCTTCAGTCTCCCTGAGTAGCCTTGTTTTCTACTTTCTTGCCTCTTATACATACAAAGTACTGCCAAAAACTACATTCATTTAAAAATGTTTTTTAAAAAAATATATTATAAAATACCTCATTTCTCCTTACTGGTCAAGTTCTCTTCATCTTCACTGGTGTTTCAGGCATGCCGAGGCTCTGAGTTTGATGAAGGTATACAAACTGACTCTGGACCTGCAAATGACACTCTGGAAACAGATGCCAATCCTAGATACAAAATCCCAGTAGAAGCAGATTTTCTGTTTGCATATTCCACTGTGCCAGGTAAAAAAAAAAGAGAAAAAAAGAAAAAAAGGGAGAGGGGTGGGGAGGGAGTTTTAGAGGCAAGAAGCCTAAAAATTTATCCTATCTTCAGTTGCCAATCAACATTTTTTATCTATAATAGTTACTCCAATAAAACGTGTTATTTTTACAGAACTGGCTTTTTCTCTGCCCTTATGCATCACAGCATAGGTAGCGATGGACAAGATGCTAAGACATGGTGTTTGGTTTGGCCAGTGTGTTCCATTTACTACTTTTGCAATGAGCTGAAACAGGAGGAAGCCCAAATCTGGCAGGTGACAAAGCACAGGCATTACAGATGGCAGAGGAAGGCAATACCAACCTTAGATAGGCTAGTTTAGTAACTATGTTGAGTTTACATGCAAGAAGAGGATGGGCTATAGCATGAACCTTTGCAAAAATATGCTTTATGAAAACATAGAGAATTGTACCTTAATATGCTGAAGGTTGGAGAGGTAATACACATTATTTTCCTTGTCTGTGAAACAAGGTTTGTGACAGGAGTAATAACGATTGAAGTTTTTGTGTGCAGTTGCTGCTTATCCAGAATCTTTCACACAAACTGGTACATTTCTCTCTGATGTTCCACTCTTCAGCACAAAGTCTTAAGAAGGAAGAGGGAAAAAAGCACGCTCTTTTATCTCTTTTCTGTAAGGTTATTATTCTTGGAGGAATCCTGGAAGAGGCTCTTGGTTTGTGCAGTCTCTGTGCTCTGTGCTAAATGAACATGGAAAGCAACTTGAGATCATGCAGATCCTCACACGGGTCAACTATGTGGTTGCCACGAATTTTGAATCACAGTCTGATGATCCACGCTTCAGTGAGAAGAAGCAGATTCCTTGTGTAGTCTCTATGCTTACTAAGGAACTTTACTTCTGAAAGCATATTTAATACAGCCAGTAATGTGAGATCGGGATAAATTTGGGGGTGAAGATTTGATTATAAATTGCAGTAACACAATTTTTAATAACAGAACTGTAATGACTCTAGATTTACATATTGTATAAGCTGGGGTACATGACAAATGGACAATAGGCAATATTTTAAAGACCACCTACATGCTGTGAATCAATCCTGTAGCTAATTTCTGATTTGTATGAGAATCGTAGACTCCATGATTCTATTACAAATAGTTTTGGTTTCTCTTAGTGTAGCTGTCTGAGAGTCAGTTACCTGACCCATAAAGGTTTACTCCAAAAAACAGATTGTAAAATCTGTAAAAAAACATATAAATGAAGCTCCATCTTTTCTTTCACTGCAATCTCATGGAATTGTAACTTCCTTGGAAATTTCCAAAGACCATCATATAATAAATATGTCCAGAGGTGAAACTGACTTTGTAGCTATTCAGGAGGGTGCTTCTTAGTCTAATAAATTTATTTCCATTTTAGAACACTCTTAAAGAAGAGTAATGGATGCACTGTGCTTAATATGGATGTCAATTTAGTTATCATTCTAGCATAAGGTTAATTTTATTTGCAGATAATTCAGCTGAATGGTATGGAAATGTATCAAATAGAAAGATTTTCATTTTGGTTTTTCTAAAAGTAGGCAAACTAATTAGATAATATCTTAATAAAATACCATTGTGAAGATTTTTGCAGATGACAATTAACTGAGAGAACAGCCTGACACAGTAGTCGTGCAGTTTCTCTGCTTGCAGAAATAAGAACACCTGCATGTTGATTCATAAGTTTTGAACCCAGAAAAAGTTGATGTCTAGACTTTGTTATAAAACATTAAAATTTAATGTTGAAACAACAGAATTATGTATTTCAGTAAGAAACGCACGTTTAGATTTAACTTCTATCTGTGAGGAATTTCACCAAGACCAGAAATACTTGAATCAGAAACCAGAAGTGCCTTTTTAGTTAATATATTGTCTTGATTTTGTACTTTGGAGTTATGTCAATGATGCTTATATTTCTAATTTTTATATTCTTTTTAAATATGATAGCTCAAAAAAGTAATTTTAATGGTTTGATTAGACTGATAAATGATAGGTTATTCACCCTTTTCCTAGTTATGGACTCTTACTTTTTTTAAATCTAAGAAAACAGGTGCATGCCGAGTTACCTCTTTATTGAGTATATTTTCTTACAGGAAATGTAGCATAGCGAGGCATATCTTTTTCATAAGTCAAATTTACAATTGTTTGAATTAAATAAATTATTGTTTTGTGAAAGTCTTGAGCATAATATCAATAAAGACCTGTTTTTTTAATTTCCTATGAACGTCTGCCTGGTGGTCATTTGATCTGGTGAAGTGAAAACCAACCAAAATAAGTCCCACAATTTTTATCAGTCTTGAATGTTGGTCTTCTGCATCTTTATCAAGATGAGGTTTCCTGTGTCAGCTGGAAAGTAGTTTGGAAGTATTAGCTGGCATTTGATTGTTTGGGTTAAAAGTAGGCTGGATCCTTTCATAGAGTAAACCAGAATTATTGAAAAGATTTTAATGGAAATCTCCTGATTTGCCAGCCCTTAATCTTGCCCAGTGCATAAAGTGTTTGTATACATTACACTGTACGGTGCTCTAGTGGTTCATATGAAAATGTTCTTATTAGTTCCTGCAAACAGCTCTATCTTAAACTGTTTTCTAGCACTGGAGAAATGCCAGAAATGTTTTACCATGAGAAATGTATCAATTCAACATTTTCTCTACTCTCACACTTTTACACAGCTCTTACACTTCATTGCACTTCGCAGGTAGATTTTTACTAAGCTGGTTCTGTTAACAAAGATACCCTGACACCAAAACCACCCTTTCATTGAGGGACGTTGTGGTTCTGAAGCCACAAAGCCTTGGGAACAATAAGGGAGCAAGTAGGGGTTCTGAAACAGAGCACTTGAGGTTTATGAAATAATGCCAAGAAATGTAACAGCATAACAGTTAAGGAGCAGACTTCTTGTGCAGTTTATTCATAAAGGTTGTTTGAGAACAATCTTTAATTATTTAACAAACTACTGCCAATCTATCTTTGCTCAGAAGCACTGCAAAAATGTGGACTTTACCAACTTCTGTCAAGTGAAGCAAAAGGCCATCAGTGCTATTCAAAATTGCTTGCAATTAAGGTGGATCATTAAATACCTCTGTCCTGTTGCCAGGGTTTGTGTGCATCTCACCACTCCATAGCTGCCTCACCTACAGTCCCTGATTCAGCTTGTGGCTGGTGAGGTTCCCGGTGAGTGGTGACAAGGAATAGAAGCAATTAGCATTGGTTAGTTTACTCTAGCAGTAGGAAAAGCTTCTTGCCCCACTTGACGTGATGTCTTAAAAAAAGGATGGACAGAGTGGGTCTCTACAGATCTTGTTGTACATTTACTCTTATGGACAGTAAATGCAGACAACTTGGGAATTTCCAACTACCAGGTGAAGCAGTAGCTGTCTCTCTAGGAAGAAAGGCAAAACACTAATGTTATCTGAAGCTCTCCAATGCTTCAAGCAAATAAGTATTATCAGGTTTTCAGAGATCTTTCCTGGTAGACCAAAGGTTTCCTGGAAAAAAAACATGATAACATAGTGTAATAATAATATGATAGAACAAAGGAGCACAGCAATTCTATATGCTGATTTACAAAGAAGGGAAAAAATAAAGGCAGAATCTTAAGCAACCTCCAGGCTTGTCCAGTATATGAAGTATACAAAGATCAGGCATAAAATACATGAAGATGCTGCCAGAGAGGAAAGCAACTTGGAAAGGTAACTTTGAGAGAAAAACATAGGGCCCATGCAGGGGCCCATGTCTCTGCTAGATGGAGCATTACTTTAGATCATGTCCAAGAAGCATTAATATTATTTAGCCTGCAGGAATACGTTCCCAGTAAGGAAGCCTGACCCTGTGACTTGAGCAATGCCATTTTAGTTTATTTCCCACTCAAACTTAAAAATCTTTTTCGTCTAAAAGCATTTCTGATATTAGCAGGAATAGCTGAACAGCTGAAAATCATTATCATTAATGATATGCTGGATGTCTCTGGAGAGAATGCAGAAAGTCACCCATAACCAGGACAGACATTGACCCTGCAATAAAAGTACAGTTAGGACGTAGGTAGGGTAAGAAAGCCCATTCCACTTCATGTTTTTTTTTTTTATTTAGTAATCTAAGCTTGGTAACAGTTTATGGCACTGCATGATCTTTTTATGGTTCTTAATGTTACTTTCTCTCCCAGTCACGAGTGAGTACAATCTCCCAGGCACAGCTCCAGGGAAAAGAAAGGGGCTATTTAGAAACCAGTTTAAAAAAATAAAAGGTACCTCCTCCAGGCTTTTTTCCTCCTGGGAGACATTCATGGCTGCCACAAACAGGTATTTTTTTAATTGTTTGTAAGTGAATATTAATCTGGGTTTCCCCTTTTGGAACAGTCTTTAATTTGCTTCTCCAGGCAGAAACTGGAATTTCCTTGTGGGTCATATTTCAGGGTGTTTGTGTTCATACACCAGCTATAAGTCAGCAGTCAGTTCAGGGAGGACACTTCGTCTTTTGCTGCAGAAAACAATACAGGAAATCTGGAAATGTTTGATGGTGCATTTCTCTAAGACCTTCTACGCTAGAAGGACATTCACCTGTAAGTATGAACACACTTTGTTTTCCTTATCTTGGCATTATATTTTTGAAGATTTATAATAGGGCACTTCTTACTCGTTTGCAGCATTCATTTGCATTCTGACTGAAGTACCTTGTTGCTTTTCCAAAAGGTTGAAATCACCAAATCTCTGAATGTCAGGTATACAAAAATCTGATGGGGTATAATCACAGAATTGGCACTGTTTGTTCTGAATTAAACATAATGTGCTTAATAAGTTGCTTCCATTGGAGTGAAAAAATGATTAAACACAACTTCTTTTCCAAAATGCAGTGAGGCAGCAGTGATAAAAGCTTGCTGTAATCTCATCTTTCCACCTGGAAACGTTGACTTTTACTGAGACCTAGATGAGACATTTATCCTGTTACAAGGCTGCTTTGAGAGGTGTATCACTTGCAGTCTGACTTTGTCAGTCACACTGGCAGGAATATTACTGTGGCTTTCACTGCAACCCCAGATGTGTCCCTCTATTACTGACATTAAACATCTGACTTTTTGTGCAGCTTTTTTCAGTTTTGGAAATAATTTTTATCTTTTTTTTTTGTTTGCTTTTGTAAGCAATAGATGAAAAACCTAGGCATTAAATTTTGTAACAGTCTGTCTCAGCTGTTGTACAACCAACCGAAGAGTTGTACAAAGAGCTCTCCAAAAGAAGCAAAACTGTACTAGTTTCCCTAAAAACAGCGTAAGCAGAAATGCTCCACAGAGTTCTACAGCAACGGTTGTTCCCTTTTACAGCAGGGTATTGCCTGAAAGCCCACAGTCTGAATCATGTCAAAGTAACTAAAGCCACTTTTTACCTTCTGAAAGATGCACACCGCTGTGTTCTTGCACTTTCAGGGCACACAGAGCTTATCTTGCTGCCAAGGCAGTATCAGAAACAGGTGCGATGCAATGTTCCTAGGGTACAGCTGGGGAGGCTACTGCAATGAAAGGGGCAAAATGCAGTTCTGTTGGCAGGTCTCTTCACATCCTGAGCAAATCATCCCTCTGAGTCATGTAAGTTAATCAATTCTGTAGTGCATCGTTTTATATTTATGATTTAAGAATAAAATACAACACTATAGCATAGAACATATAATCTTATATGATTTTATTATCGATAGTAATATATTTAAGTGAGTAACAACTATAGTTGTATCTGTAGTTTCTTAGGGAATTTTTCTGTTTAATTTCCTATAGTTTAACCATCACTATGAAAACAAACATTTCTGAGATATTTGTTATTTTCTCAGGCAACCATGCGCACAGTGAAATGTTGCTCAGCAAGAAAGAGTGAAAGCAATTAGCTTGAAGGTTTTTACTTCCCTGTCTCAGTAAAAAACTAATCAGGATGGCTTCAAGAACTGCAAAAAACTCTGAAGGTACAAAATTTCATTTACTGAGATTTGTTAGCGGTAAGATTGAATCAGGTTGCAAAACATTCTTTTCCATATTTGATACTATTCTCTCTTGCCTCCAGCTGCCAAGTATTTTGTTTTAAATAGTGAAAACAGTGTATTGTGTAATTCTACTCCTCCGCTCCCTCTCTTAAAGAATCTGTCCTAAATGCAGCCTTTTCTGTTACAACGGAATCTTTCTTGTACCTGAAACAGATTGGACTGACATTTCTAAAAACATCAAAATCCTTAAAAATTGACTGGGAACTGGAAGATGTGTCAGTAACTCTATGACACTGACAATGAATTCTTACCTCCCCTGAAGTCAGTAGTAAATGGGATCTCAGAACCAAGTGTTTCTCTCCACAGAGTTGGATGTTGATGTATTACAGTCTTTCCCAGAACTTGCACTAGACTGTTGGAGGTTGACTGTCCTTTCTTCAGTCATTGGATTCTTTAAAAGCATTAACATCTCCTATTGGGCTTATGGCTTAAAAAATGGAATGAGATTGGTACTCCTTTCACCGGGTGAAAGTAAACTGAGCTGTTGATCAGAAATCCACCAGTGGTGAGAAAACCTGATTGTATGTAGGGTTGCGAACAAATATATTCACGTATTTTTAACCCTAAGCTTTTAGCTTATATTTACCCTGTAAGACTTCTCCCAGTTGCTGCATCGTGATCTGCAGTGTAAGATCATCTATCATTTGAGGTGTTTGCCTGTCCGTATTGAATGCCATCTACAGATTTCATTAGGGTGCCATTTACTGCCTTTCAGTTCACTAATGAGGAAGCTAAGTAAGACCAGACCCCAGAAGTTAAATAAGAACTTTAAATAAGACAGAGCTTCATGATATCTTCTGAGCCACCTCTCTCAACACAGTACATTACCTCTATCATTTGCTGACAGCTTTGGCCAGTTGTCAGCATTAACAATGACATCAAGGAACCAGGGCCTGGTTCTGTATTTTATTGCTTTGATTTGTGTTTCTCTTCTCTAATTGAATGTGCTTTGTGGTCATTTAAGCTCAGAAACCAAGTGCTTAGCAACAATTTTCATTTCAAGGAGCGTCTTTTAGGAGATTAATCGGCAACACATAGAGTAATGGTGCCATTCATTTCTCTTTGATTAGTAGAAGCTCAAAACCCATTTTGCCCTGAAGGTGGAGTTTTCAAGCATGGTTTCTTCATCAAGTCACCACCGCATCATCTTATCAACTCCAAGGTACATGAACACAGATCAGTCATATTCCAGCAATCTCCCACCAAACGTCAGATACTTCTGCTATCCTAGGTTTTAACAAGAGACAATTGACTTCCTCTTTGGCAGAATTCATGGAAAAGGCGCTTTTTCATCCTGTCCAAATCCAACAAGGGCGATTACATCCTGAAGTACCTAAAAGGAATGTCCATGAAAGGCTCCATAGCTGTTGATCAGTATGTAACTGAAATATATCATTTTTTAATTTAAATATTCTATTACCCATCTTAAATGACGACTAATTGTACAGGCACTTGTTCCTGATTGAGGGTCTTGACCAAATCCTACTGAAGACAATGAAAGAGTCCTTTGGGATCTTGTAGGCCTAAAGTACAACTTACAGTGTATGATTTACAGAGTTAAAATCCTAAATATTTTGATGAAATTTTATACATTCATTTGAGCAATTGTGGTGACGCACCTACAAAGCAGACAGGTTGGTTCCATGATCCCAAAGGCTGTATTCCTACAGCAGATGATATTTTCTGTGAAGATAATGCTTTGCACGCTTACACAAAAATAAGGATGGACTACGCCAGTTGTAACTGTGCAGACACACACACTTAATCACCTTACAGATGGCAGGGTACCTCTCACCCTGCAAAGAATAGTATGTTTACATGCTGTATAATTGAATAATGTTTCATGTGGTTGTCTTAACAGGATCATAAGTGTAGAAATAGGCATAAGTAATTCTGAAACAATGGTGATGGTGAGGAAGATGTTCAGATGCTTTCCAGAAGAGGTGATATCCATCACTACTGAAAACAGATGTTACTACCTCATTGGGAAAAGCAGGTAGGTAGGCTGAGAGAGGTGTGAATGCAGTATGATATTGCAGATAAACTAATGTAACTCTAAGCTGCTGCCCTAAGGCATGATCCCACTACTTTGCAGCTCTGGCCAGCAGCTCCCACCTCTTGAGCAACCCAGGCCAAAGTGGCTCAGATGAATGATCCGAAGGAAAGTTGCTCTCTTCTATTGCATTTTTCCCATGCCTGGGTTAATTTCCTGCAGTTGCAGACAGCTGAACCAGCTGGGAGAAGGCTGATCTCAAAAGGAGTAGCTGGGGGCATACCTACAAGCTGCTCTGCTCACTGCAGTCCAGCCTGCAGCAGGGCAGTAATTGCTACAGCCTAGGTGGTCGGCTCAGTGAGGCAGGACATTTGGCACAGTGCTTCTCCACTGCAGCTTCCCACTTTTTGCTTTCCCAGCTACAGGCATAGTGGGGTTTTTCTGCCCTAGGGCAGAAGAGCACCTGATGTGTGAATTGCTGATAAGCACAGAAGCAAAACACATACCTGTGTGCCACTTGAGCGTTCCACTCCACGCCTTTGCCCAGGGCACTGCTCTCACAGCCAGGCTCTATAGGAAGTGATGTAGAATTAATCCAATGAAACCCACTTGAAGCACTGAACAGAACACATACTTTCAAGAGTTTCTCACCCTGCTTGCATTCCCGAGCCCTATTTTCAAGAGTCAGCAGAGCAGCACTATGCATAGAGAATGAAGCAGAAAGCATTATTGCACCTCCCCTACAAAGCCTTGCCATACCTGGGCTGGGTCTACACATCTCTGAGGCAAGGTTTTTTCATCCATCCCCTGAAGGGATGGTGCAGATTTTCCCTGTTGGTTTCTAGAGGTGTTATTTTAGGCTCATGAGAGGAAGTAGGTGAGCAAATGGGTTTTCCCTGTGTTTTACCTAGGAATAGGTGTTAACTTCTATTGTTCTAACCCACAGGCTGGAAATAGAGGATTGGGTCACAGCCATATCTTCCATCAGGGAGGCCAAAAAAGGTGGATGCTGCCCTCAGGTGACATGTTACTATACTTGATTTTAGAAGGAAAGAATCTTTTTTTTTTTGACCAAATCCTACTGATTTTGTAATCTTGTTAGAAAGCCATGCAAAAGCAAGGAATTTTTGCTTTGGCCTTGTCACCTGTCTCTTGCCTTGGTTAATCAGAAATTATTTTTCCATATAAATCCTGTACTCCAGGCTTACACATTAAGCAGGCATTGCATAGTCTGTTTGCATGGGGATTGTTCTTACACCAAAAGCATCTCTTTGAAGACTAAGACACATGGAAATTAGGAAGTGATTGACACTGTGCTACAATGAATTGTACCTTTGATGTGTCAGGATGAAAATGTGTGTGTAATTCTTACTGTGTGCTTTTTGGATCTATTTACATGCTGTTTTACAAAGTGATACACATCTAGTCTGTCAGTGCTGCGAAACAGCTGGAGACCCTGCCAGCTCAAGCTGCAGCCCTTCAGGTGTCTGTCTAACCTTGCTGTTATCATTTCTCTAGAACCAAGATCTTGCAAATTCAGAAGTCAAAAGCCGGTCCTTCTCTATGCCACTGTTCTCGAATTCTATAGATATGACCGGTTCCCCGAGAAGGCAAAGCTACCTGAAGGTAAATGGATTACCCATCTCTAAAAATGAGTTTGCTGCGAGGGATGGCTGTGAAATTTGATGTATATAGTTGGTAGTTTTGATCAAAAGTTCTTCAGAGCTCATGCAGTGAGTGCCCACGTGGTCTGCATTGCTCTGTACTGGGGTTCCCAAGCAGGAACAGGATGTTAACATCATCAGAGAGCCCCCACAAATGTGTAACATGCCAAACAGTACTGGCATGTTGGTTTATAAGTCTGTCTGTAAGTAAAGACAGATAAAGAAGGGTCAGGAGCTGCTAGCCACACCCTTGCTGCTCTGTGCTTGTGCTGTTCTTTGTTTCTCTGAGCTCTAAACTCTAGTGGGGAAGTTCAACCCACTGCTGCCCATTGCAGCCCACACTTCTTGCTGTCTGTGCCTTTCAGATATTCCCTCTCAGTATTTAAATAGAAAGTCTTAGTCCTTTGGTGGCAGAATGAATAGCTGCCAAAGAGGTGTTGGTTTCTGTACTCACAAAGTCGTGCTCAAATAGCCTTGATGGAGGAAGCTGAATGCATGTGAAGCATCTCCAGTGTATCTTTAGGAGTCAACTTTTTTTTTTTCTCTATACAGGATGATGGTGCCTCAGAAGATAAGAACAGGCCAAATTCAGATCCTGGCCCTCATCAGGCTCAGAGCAACTCGCCACAAGGAGTTCTACCAAGACTGGTGAGCACAACAAATAAAGCTGCTCTTGACTTGCTTAGCCTGGAGAAATGACTACTGGCTCTCATGTCACCTGACTATCTATAGCCATAGATTATTCACCTATTTCCCAGCACACTGACCTGCTTTTTATTATACGGACTTCTTAAACGTAGCTAGCCAGTTGCCTCATTTAGCACTGAAAATAACCTTCTGAGAACGTACTTTAAATACCCTTTATTTACCTTTTCTTGGGGGCAGTTCCTCAGAGTTTCCAAGCAGAGATTTCACCTTGAGGCAGCTCTCCTGAGGTTGATAAAAGACTACTCTGAAGCCGCAGTGCTTGAGGATTTGTCCCTGCTGTCATATTTCGCAGCTGTGCCACACTCTTCTGGGCTTCCTTCTGCAGCCTCTGCAAGCAGCAGTTGAATCAGAGTAATCGAGCTACAAAACAAAATCAGACTGACGTACACCTTAAAGCTGACATTGTATCATTATAAATATGGCTTCCAGTAATTTAGCTTCCATATCTGACAGGAATTATTTAAAAAGATAGAATGATGAGTGCTACCATGGATTATTAACAAAGCATTCTGACCTCTGTTCCCTGAACAAAAAGATCTGCAGCAGTTTCAGATACTTGTCAGCCACCCTCTACCCTGGGTTACTGCCTTTACAGCAGCTGACAGAACTGACAGCACAAGCACACCAGTTTGCAGTTAGGCAGTTGAATATAAATCTATCTTTATTGGCAGTTCATGCATTGGACTATGATCTGGAGGAGCTGAGGTACAGGGAAAGAATCTATTCTGCTCTCACAGCTAACAGGACAGCGAATCACATGCTGCAATCACCATTTATTTGTACAGGCTGGCAGCAAGTATGATATAATACACTTTGATTCAGTGGACTGAAGTGAAAATAGCTGAAATTACATTGCAATGCCAAGAGTTGTTATAATAGTTCAGCTGAGGCACTGTAATTTGTGAAAGTGCAATCACTCAGCTTTGAGTCTGAGCTCTGAAATGAATTGTGTTAGCCCTTAGTTTGACTTGAGCTACCACTGCTCTTGGATGCACACCAAGGCTCTCTTTCTGCTTCTTTCCTATACGTGTCATTTCTGTCTTATTCATTAATCCTTTATACTCACAGTGACTCTGAGAGCACTATTGTATGTAGCTGGCCAGAGCAGGACAGGCTGACAGGGAGCATTCAAAGATAAGGAATTTGGATTTTCTTGTTCTCTTTAGCCTGAAGCAGAGGGAGTATCAGGAAGCTTTTATTATTTCAGCATGTGTCATAGTAAATAACCTTGCCATACAGCTAACAAGGAGCAAAAATGTTTCTGCATTTGATAAAAATATTACACTTGACTCATAAGTTTAACATCCGCTAACATCTCCGGATCTGTTCTCTGCTCAGTGATGTCCAGACAGCTGACTTCCAGATTAAGCCTTTGTATTTACTTCCTGTTGGAAGTATGACTCTTCATTTCTAGTGTATGATTAGTGTTGCTTTTTATTGGCAGTTCTGTCACCCAGGCCCTGATCTTGAAAACTGGTCAGAAGCCATTGTTCATGCAAACAGGCTTCTCCACGTCAGCTAAGTTTGGTCACACAGGCAGGGACCCAGCTACTCGGGAATGCTTTGAGAACCTGGTTCCTTTTCAACCCATGTTTTTGAGCTACCAAACTACATCTGACTCAGCAACTGAGTTCTAGCTATTTGCACATATCCAAATATCCAAAATATCCAATATCATCCTTTAATATCCAAAATGCATCAAAATAAGGAATCCTAATTTGCATCACACTGTATGACAGGTCCTCAGACAAACTGGTCAAGAGCCTGGCACCAACACATGATGAACATGATTTTTTGAAAGAGAAATTCAGGGCAGCGTGTAACTTTTAGCCTTTTCCCCAAGGAGCCCAAAACTAGCAATTACCCAGATGATTTCCAGGTATCATTCACATTTTTTGCTGCAGCCAATTTCCCTCATAGCCCACTTTCTCTCTAATGCCAGTACACACTGTGGTTCAACACAGACTTACTGAACTCATTTAGCTGTACAGTTGAGAATAATTTCAGATTGAAGTTAGCTAAACTTCTCTGGTTGTAAAACATTCAGAGGAACACAGATGTCATCAAATTTCTTTAGGAAAATGCAGTGATGCTGCTATTTAACCTTTTCCACTGCTCTCGTAGTCTGTGATGATGATTTGGAGAGACAGTACACGCATTTGCCAAAAGTGGCCACTGTCAGCAATCAAAAGCTCACTTTGGGAAGCTGATGAGTGCTGTCTACTCTGAGATTTCATAGAAGTTGGAGGATCTCAAGTCTTAATGTCACCTCCTCCTTCCCCTTTTCCCCAAGCATTAACGTGTTTGATTGACTCAAAGCCCCCAAAGCATGACTAGGAAACTTGTTCATGACTTTAGATCATGACCACAGAAGAACTAGTCTTCATTCCCAAAGGAGTTTGGTTATGCACTTCTTGAAGGACCATTCGTTGGTTTGTTCTGACTGCTGCAGCGTGGGCTGCTTTTTATGTCATTTACACCAACAAAGAACAAAAATACATTCATCATCTTTAATTCTATTCAATGTCAGTTTCTTCTCTTTACATCTAAGAGAGTAATTAGTTTAATTGGCCAAAAAGGCCAATGGCATTCTGGGGTGCATTAAAAAGAGCGTGGCCAGCAGGTCGAAGGAGGTGATCCTCCCCAGTACAAAAAAGACAGGGATCTCTTGGAAAGAGTCCAGCGCAGGGCCACAAAGATGGTGAAGGGCCTGGAGCATCTCTCCTATGAGGAAAGGCTGAGTGATCTGGGTCTGTTCAGCCTTGAGAAAAGAAGGCTGAGAGGGGACCTGATCCAGGTCTGTAAGTATCTAAGGTGTGGGGGGCAGAATGGCGAGGCCAGACTGTTTTCAGTGGTGAGTGGAGACAGGACAAGGGGAAACGGCCGGAAACTGCAGCATAGGAAGTTCTGCACAAACGTGCACAAGAACTTCTTTACAGTGAGGTGACGGAGCACTGGAACAGGCTGCCCAGGGAGGTGGTGGAGTCTCCTTCTCTGGAGATGTTCAAGACCTGCCTGGATGCCTACCTGTGCGACCTGCTGTAGGGAACCTGCTTTGGCAGGGGGTTGGACTTGATGATCTCTGGAGGTACCTTCCAACCCCTACAATTCTGTGATTCTGTGAATTTACTTTACCTTGAAAACAGTAGTATATGCTTGGCATATTTAGCAATTATTAAAATGATTACCATGGAAACCAAGGATGTAAGTAGAAAGATGAAAAATGGTTGTATCACAAACATGGCATGGAGAATTGCATTGGGAGGCAGCAAAATACTAAGTACTATACTCTTCATTACAAGGAAACATAAAAATGAGTAATTTGTATTTAGAAAGGTTTGTGGAAAGATTCATTTCTCCTTGACTCACCAAATAGCCGCAGACTTAATAATTCAGGTATTAACAAACATCGTTCAGGACACAAAAGATTCAGTATCAGATCTTCAGCCCCTGGACTATGAGAAAGAATAAGAAAACTCTAGAAATGAGAGTTAATAAACTTTTCATTAGTCAAGTGAAGTCCCAAATGCATTCTTTACTTGATAATATTTAAAAACTGCCTCAAAGTGACAAATATCTCCCAATCCTCTTCCAGATTTCCCATAGATTTTTTTCCTAGTGTAAAAACTTTAAGACAAATAAGAGTTTTGCCCACAAGCACATGAAAGCATGCAGAATCATACATACAGTATTCAGCCTACTTGATTTTTAAACAAAATAACAGTTTTGAACATGAAGTCAATTGCAATTGCCTAGTTACCACAAATCCATCCAGGAGAAATACTGACACTAGTGCCAATTTGTGCATGTGTTTCCTGTGGACATTCACTAGGAAATGGCAAAATCCATGTTAAACAATCCATATAAGTGAACCTGTTCAAATAAAAACATTTATTTCACAGGATAAAACTCTGGGAAAGACTGAGGAAAATCTGTCATCAGATTCAAACGAAGATCTCGAAAAGGAAGAAGAACCTTATTACCAAACTCCCAGCAGTCTTTTAGCAAAGGTAGTTTATTAGTTGTGAGTCCTGTTTTGTTAACAACTCCAAGGAGACAAACACACATAAAGACCCAAAGAGGAAATGGTATGAGGAACCAACTCATACCTTGCCACAGAAGTACGTAGATAAAGCAACAGGTAATAAAGCTTCAATGTGTACAAGAAAAATGCTGAATCCAAAGGGTCTTTCTGCTAAAAAGTGGCATTTTCACAAAACATACTGCTGATTTTGTTGAAATTCCTCAAACTGACCACTGTAAATGACTTTTGTCAATTGCATCAACATTCGTTTTACCAACAATGAAAACTGCACTAACTGCACATCATCTTCAGTGTTACTTCAAATCAGTAGCATCAGTGAGTGGCATAAAGCCAAGCAGTAATTTTTAAATGCCAGGAAACATTTTGATGTGTGCATTTCAGTGTGAAAGAAGGGAGCGGGAAGAATCATACTGGTAATCTTAAATAAATACTGGCACTGAATTTGGGAGGTTCATTTCTCACGGTTTCCCATGCAGTCAGTGGTCATGAGAAGCTCGTTAGGCCAGGCAGGCTTCTGCAGATGTCACTGCCTCTCTCCAAAGCCTGTACAGATAACTGAAGGGCATGAACAACTTAATTTTATCATATGATCTAAGTGCTTTAAATGAAATAAATTATACATATATAATCTTATTGAAAGACTTTCCTGAATTAATATTACCAAACTTTAAGTGGTCATATATGAAAATATAGCTGGTTATGTTCCAACTTAAAAGATAGTATCTATTATACCAGACAGGATGAATTTCTAAGTTTCAACCACATTTCTAGCTTGCAGTTTCTGGGAAGTGAATTACTTGAGGTAAACCAAGCTGTACTAACTAATGGTCTTAAACAGCACAAACACTGAACGAAACAAGGTAATTGAGATTCTTTTTTTCTGTAGACAGAGCAAAAATATTTATTTCTTAACATTGTTATGTGTTTCTAACAGTGCAATAGTGAAATATTGGAGATCGACCCTACAGCTGAGCCTGATATCCCTGTACAAGAGAAGCCGTGTCAAAGGCAGCCAGAGAAGGAGAATGCTTACGAGTCAATGGAGTCACTGTAAGTAACACAAAAACAGAATCATACAATCACCAAAGTTGTAAAGACCTCCAAGATCATCAAGTCCAACTGTCCTTCTACCACCAATATTTCCCTACTAAACCACGTCCCTCAGTACAATACCTATAACCTTTCCTGGACACCTCCAGGGATGGTGACTCCACCACCTCCCCAAGCAGCCTATTCCAGTGCCTGACCATTCTTTTGGAAAATCAAGTGTTTAGACCCTTCATTGAACATCTCCATTAAAGCTTTGCATGTTACAAGTGGCATAGCTAGAGCTGTTGTTCATAGTATTTATAGCACAGTACCTAAAGGCTGCATCTTGTTTGAATGAGTTTTTCCTTCAGTCTTGGTCCAGAAAGTTCAAGGCTTGTGGAAATACCAGAGTGAAGTTCAAACTCATCACAGTGAAATTTAAGCTCACATTTCAACTCATGCATTTAGACAGGCTCTGACAAGAGGCACAGCAAGTTCTGTTGACTGATACTTAATCTAGGCCTTAAGGACATAACAGCACACCACGGCGCCTAGATACCTCAGCCAAGTCCCAGCAACAATTCAGATAGGCTCCCTGCAAAGAAAACTGTATTAGCTAGTTAAAAAAGGCAGGCCTAAGACTTGTGGCATTAGCTCCTAGTTTTTCCAGTAAGATGCAATGTTAGCCCTAGGAGGTCACCTCTCAACTCCTTCCTACCATTTCCCTAAAGTATAGGTCTGATGCTGTGTACTTTGAGGGTGTAGTAGTTGGTATGTCAGAAACAAAGACCTGAACATTGCTGTTGTGGTGTCACCAGGAAACTTTACAACCAGTATGATACAGCATGCTATAAAAAGAAGTGCCTACATCATAACTGCATGACAGTGGTGAGCCAAAAGGCTCGTCCATAGCTGCTGGCTATGTCCTACCACCTACAGACAGCCAGGTGTTATTTCACACAGTGGGAGGCAGTCAGAAATGCAGGCCCAGAAGACAGATTATTATTACAATAAATTTGTTCACCTGCGTTTTTAAGAGTCTTTTTGGAGTAGTTCACTATACAAAGATCACAAGTCTATGACATTGGACTCAATATGCTACTAACCCATACCTTATTCAAGGTGAATAAGAGAGGTGACTACAGGCATTACAAGCCTTATCAAATAACCCAAGTATTCAAGCCTATCTGAGTCATTTTATCCCTCAGAGGACAGCGTTACATCCCCACAAAAGGTGGTAAAGCCAAGGGCAACAATCTGTGCTCATTTCTTTCTAAAAGTATGTTGTTAGCTGGAATGTTTTGGGGCTATATAAATAGTCTTTAAATACTGAAAAGGTTTATTTTAGGATTTACGGCCCATTTTTAGAAGGACAGTTTATTTTATCTAGCCATAATTTTGCCCACTGGATATTCTACAAGAACTTGTTATTCTTTTCTTCACTGACAGCTATTTGATCCGGCAGGAGTGTCTGGAATGGCTAAACCAGTTCATATTTTTTTTATCACCATTCCTTTTTCAGTAGGCTAACATGTAGACATGACAGGCTCCATTCTCCTCCCAGAAGCCTGGAAAACAGTGCAAGTCCAAGCAGCTTGGAGGCAGACACAGATGTAAATCTCCCACAGAGCACCACACAACAGTCTTTCCTCAAAAGAAGGCAAAACTCATCACCACTTTCAGTGGTTCAGTTGTCTATACTGCTCAGGTAAGTGACTTCCCCTTTTCTTCTTGCTAAGAAGACAGAAGAAGACTAAGAAGTCTTTGGGTTCCACTTAAAGGTGGTAAAAGGGTACCTGATCTCAAATGTTTTCTCTCACAGTCAAGTTACAGATAAGACACAACTGCAAGAATTGGATATTTTGGTCCCCCTGGCAGATATTAACAGTTACCTAAAACTTACTGAAGCAGCAGGACAAATATGGTAAGTCCTTCATCTTGTGCAATGGTGACTGCCAAGTGTGAATGAGTGACAGTGTAGGGGTAGAAGCATACACATCCATATGCACAGTTTTGCAGCATAAAGGTCCAGTCAGGAGAGCAACAGATCTCTGATCCTTGCAATTGTACCATAAATAAAACATAACAGCAAGTTTTAATTTCAGTCTCTAGAAATGCCTTGGAAAATTTTTTTTGGCCAAGTGTGCAGCACATACACAGACCTGCACCAAGTCTAGCCCCATTTTCAGGCTGGAATCCCCAGCTCTCTGATGATGCTGCTAGCATCGGTCTCGCTACCAAGACCAAGAAGATGTAAAGTCATGCAGCCATGTGTCATTTCCAGAGGGCAGAGCCATAAATGCAACCCTGTTTTCTGTTAACAGTAACTGGTAATTATAAATCCCTTATGACTCATTTGTTGTCTGTCCTCCATATATGTTAGTGTCTCACAGTGGACTGGTCCTTGCCGACTGGGATGCTTATTTAACCATGGAGACTGCATAGTGGCTGTGAATGGTCTGCACCCACAGAACATGGAGGAGGCTTCCTTGTTCATCAGCAGGTCCACACAAAAGGAGGTACACTTGGCTAACTTCAAAGTGACAGTTAAATGAATTGCACCAAATGAGAAAACAAGATGCTTCTTGCCTCTCAAATGGCTTTATTCAAACCAGTTCATCCTGTTTTGACTGTAGCACTTCTTAGTCCTGTGCTACCTGGGGAATGACAAGATCTGCATCACTGTGTTTGAGGTCTTGATGTGAAAGAGTCTGCATAACCCAAAATTTTAATTAAAGTTACCTGGTATTTTTTGGCTAAGGCTTGTGAATTGAAAACTTTGGCAAACGAATGACCTAGATTCCCACCTCCAGTTTCTTATCAAGGACTATACAAACTCACTGTCTGGTGCTTAACCACTTTTTTTTGTTGTTGTTTGTAAGATTTCTAAGTGATACCTTAACACTGCAGTAATCTGTTACATGTAGATATCTGTGTTTCTCTGAGATTTCAGATTTTCAGTATTTCAATACTGAAGCTCTTTGAACCATACAGGAGTATCTTCATATTTAGTTTTGCTGAGAAACGTGAGGTCTACAGATGTTGTTGCCACCTAAAGAAAAGTAAGCCAGTTTCAACAAGAAAAAAACTATTAATCTCTCTAACCAGAATATTTTTTGCTTAGTTACAACACAAGTCAGATGGCAGCACAAATATTTATCATTAGTAACAATCTATAAAGCAGCATCTCCTACCTTTTCTTTTTAAGGTGAAACTTACTGTATGTAGGATTCCACATTCGGATACCTTCCATGCTAAAGGCTGTTCATGTTCCTGAAAAAAGACATCAATGATGAAGTAAGTGCCAAAGTTCAAGGGAAAGGATCAGGAAGAAGAATGGAAAATGTAGCATACAGAGATGCTCTGTATGATAGACAGAAAAGATTTCATTTTATGTCTTAGTAGCTTGTTTTGGTGGAACGAATGGTTGTGTTTTTCCTATGTATCTATTTCTGTTACACGAGCAAGGCTGAAGATAAGTCATTTATATAACCTTTGAAATCTATATTCCTTGTAATGCAGTAGGAAGTACAGTTTCATGTTTCTGCTTGCCTCTACAGCATTATATTGACTTACCTCTATCTCTTGAATCAGCTAGGAGTGTGGGAACAAAGTGAGTTTGGAACACCTTACTCTCAGCTTCAGAAAAGCAAAGACAAACTGAGAATTGTGGTCTTGGAAGGCTGGTGGAGAGCTGTGTAGTGATTCAGGGGAGCTCCTCTGGTGTTATATCCCTCACCTTAAAACCACAAAAATGCATAGAGAAACAGAGTATATTCTATATGGATATGTGCACATTGGCATATATACGTGTATGTGTGTATTTACATACATAAATATATACAGTTGATACACATGGCTACGAACCACATAACCATTTTTGAGTACAGATCATTCTGTTTTGCCAGATAAACCAACATAGCAATTGGGTTTAGCAGGCCTAGTTTTGCTGTTACTGACATACTGGTGTAAGCTTTCCTCAAGGTGAATTTGGCAGAATAAAGACATTTGTCTGGCTTCCAGCTAAGTTAGTCCAAATCAAGAAACTTACTAAAATCAGAGTTGCTGCCACTTAACTCCACTTAACTCCAGCAGCAAATTTGACAAAGGTGATTTCTATACTGGCATTAAAATCCAGTCTGAAGTTTCATTTAAAAAAAAAAAAAAAAAAACTTTATAAAAATATATTTAGCTTGAGATGAAAACAGCATCAGTAACTCGAAAGAAACAAAAATATTTGTATAAGCAATTCAGACTCTGTTCCTATTCAAAATATTAATTTTCACAGAGTGTTTCCACAGCCCATCTCTGCTTCTGGGATAAGTGTGATATGTCGATTCCTTATGTTGGGAAAGGATCATGTTTTACTATTTGTTTCAGTTTTGTTCAAAGGCATAATTGTGCTGAATTCTGCATAAAGACAGAAGGAAATCTGGAATAACCCAGACTGAGAATGGAAGAAAAATAATTCCTTAGGAGCCCTGCTCCAAAGTTGCTACATTGATTCCTTTGCTCCAGGCTGTTTTCCTGGGCCTAACAACTCCTCTTCTGCCCTAAGGAGTCCCTGCAGGGTGGGGTGGCCAGGGCATTACCACAAAGGGCTGCTTCCAGCTCCATAACCCCGTGCCTCTAGGCCAGAATCCTGAAATCACAGCTCATAGAGGTCACAAGTATCCACTGATGACTCTTACTTAACCTTCCCTGCCAGAGGTTTGCAGAAACTCTTCTGAACAATAGAAAACTTGAAGCCCTCCTGTCTTCTTCCAAGACTTGTATCTCTGTGTGATTAGGATTTTTCTTGCTCTTTTCAATGGGAAAGGGGAATGCTTTATTTTCTACCACGCATTTTCTTTCAACTTTTTTTTTTTTTTTTAAACATTTCCCAAAAACATTCACATGACACTGATCAGCAAAACAAATACTTCCTTTTCCAGTCAGGAGCGAACAAAGAGGTGAGACAGCCTTAAAGCAACTTCCTGAAACTCTGTGGGAATCATGTCTAAGAAGAGATAAACAAAGAGGAGCTCCAAACCATATACGGTGGTGAGAAGAAAGGAGCCACCACCCTGGAACTTGCATGTAACATTGCTGCTGAAGCAGACTTTGGATGACACACACAGCACCTCTCAGCCATGGGAGAACGTTACTTTTCAACAAGAATGGGCTATCAGTAGAGATATCAAACACAAAAGGGTTTCAGAAAACCTGAGAGTTATTTCTGTACTTCTATAAGCAGTTACTGAAGTGTTACATCAATTGATTATCAATTGATGATCATCAAGCGATGATCATCAATTATGTCAATTTGCACAACACTAAATGCAAATGATGAGTGTTTACACAATGTCTGATTCACAACACTTGCTAGACATATGATATGAAAGTTAGATCCGTACAGTAAATTCTGCTAGGATGTCTGAAGCTGTCTGTGCATGTGTAATTAATAAACACGTCACCACTTTACAACACATACTGCATTCCCTAACTACCTCACTTTTCCCAATACGGTCCCTCCTCATCCACCAAAGACAATCTATAATTTTCCAGTAACTTCTAGATAGGTCACCAAACAAGTCATGTTAAAAACAAAACAAGCAAACAAACAAATTACCCTTCAAAAACAAGAACAACCTTCTGTAACATTTTTCCACAGTCTGAAAATTTTACCCTTCTCCAAATGAGCAAATTCTGCTCATTTACCCTTCTCCAAATGAGCAAATTCATTGCTCTAGAAGCAATGGCAAAGAGGAACACCTACATGCACAGCATCACCCAGCACTCATGTTTAATTCCAGCAGACCTGAACAGACTGTCTTTAAGTCCATGCCAGCTGATGTGGAACTGCTAACCTTTTCAATCACCTATAGCATATTATAGGTGCTGTGTTAGCAGACACCTAAAGAAGCAGGTATTGCCATGACTTCTTGCTGCAGTGTGATCTGTGCTGTTAAAAATGGCCTCAGCTTCTGGCCTGTGGAGGGTTCCTGGCACAGATGATTAAACGGTCATGAGCTGAAATTCAGTAAACATACAGACTAGCACATCTTTGTAAAGCACAGCCAGAAGGCTGCAAATCCTGAAGACATCTTGTACCACTGGCAACAAAAAGTTACAGGCATGGAAGAAGAGCTGCAATGCATGCAAGTTTGAATTGCTTTGTGCCTTCAAATTAAGCGTGTAAGAGACAAAAACCAACAGCCTACATCACAGGCTCCATGATCTATGTTTAGTGATTAACATGCCCCTCACCAGCTGTATTTTATTCCTGTGTATTTAGGCTCTTTCCCTGACTGTTAGTTCATGGCACGTTCCCATGCTGCACTCACTGGCCGCTAATTTCCTCCTGAATTCCCAAATATGAATCATGCTCTTTCTGCATCTCTAGTACCTTCTCCAGTAGAAAAGTGGCAACCGTCCAGGAGAAAAGCGAGTCTTGGAGAGAAATTAACAGGAAGAGAAGTCTCAAAACTGATGTGATTAAGTTTTTTTTTTTTTGTTTTTGTTTTTTTTTTAATTTAAAAAGCCTATTATATAAGACAAGACACAAGACACCACAAACCACACAGCCCCAGCATTTCCTCTGGAAAGCAACATGACTGAGAACCAGGGATGGGGCCTGATATACTGATCAGACAGCACAAGAACAGCAGCAGAATGAGTCCATTCTGCAGGGAGTCACCCCTCCCCAGTACACTCCTTTCCACAGGCAACCCCTTCCCTCCTGCAAGCTGGCCAGCAGGCTGCAAGAAACTTGGAGCATTTCAGGCCATTCCTAGAAATGCCACTGGAATTTCAAATGTTCCCCTTGGTGCCTTATCATTTTCTAATTTATTGCATCATTAAAAGAAAATGAGAGGGCAGCCAATGTTGATGTGAATCTTTCACTCAGCAAAAGCACCTAAAGAGAAATTGTATCTCTGTCTGACAGCAGTGAGGATGCTCAGCAGAAGTTTTCTTGACAGTGTCTCACCCTTCCCACTCTGAAATGACAGCAGGATCAGCTCTTCTTCAGGCACAAAGCCACTGTTGTACAGCAGGACTGCATTTACGGTGGCAAGAGCCTGGTCATGTTGTGTTTTTCATCCTGGGCTGTCCAAGTTCAAGTCTATGCCTGAAAGCTGGTTTCCCTTCTAATCTGGCAAGAGAGAATAAAGAAGTTCAGATACAAGCAGGAGTACTAAGACACGGCTAGCAGTGGTGTTAACCTCATGGTTTAAAATGTCATGTCTGTTACTGTATTGTAAACATTGCTTCAAAGCCACAGGTTCCCAGAACAGGGTTTTCTTCCCCAAAGAGCTCAGCATCTCTTCCATCAAAGCAAAGCTCTGCACTGATGCATATGTTTATATCTGCAGGGTTCCCCAGGCTCTCCTTGGTTTGATTCATTTCCAGACAAAATGGGGTTGAGAATATCTGTCTCTGTCTGTGCTCCAGCTAACCAAATCTACCTGAAAATCCAAAGCATCCATGTGAGCACAAAGGATGCTGCTGCCTCTTCCTACTTAAAAAAAAAAAAAAAAAACAAAAAAAAAAACCAACCTTTCTCCACATAGCAGAAGTTCCTCTGAAAAGCAAAATCCCCCCCAAAGACTTGCTCCAGAAGAGAAAAACAAGTCAATCTCAGTCTCCATCTCTTGTAATCCCTGAAGAAAATTGAGAAAGGAAAAAAAATAAAGCTTGGAAGATTTAGAACATAGGCCTTGTGTGCTAGGTTATGAGAAGCATGCCTTGAAACAAACCCATTTGAAAAAGCCCCTCACACATTTGCATTTCTCAGACATGCCTGTTTCAACCTGGAAACATTGGTCTGGCAAACTGCAAGGATCTTGTACACTTGCCCAGGATTTCTGGGCTCTCCAAGTTCCCAAATCCATGCAGCACTGTGATGCACCCACCCCAGCATGCCTGTGCTCCGCAGATTTACGTCGTTCCAAGCACTGTTCCAATATCACCAGCAGCAGCCATAAAGGTGGTACAACTTTTTCACCAAAGAGGATCTCCTATTTTCAAGTTATTTCTCCTTAGAAGCCTCAGCTGATCAGTGGCACATTCCACACCAGGACACATTTTGCCAAAATAACCCCATTTACCTGCTAAATGCCCTTGAACTTCCTCCTGCCCTCTGATTTGCCTCTTTTCGCTTTTATTCCATATCCAAAGCCAGTGTCATTCTTCACAGATGTCAGCTTGCTTCCAAGCAAATGTTCTTGTGCTCCTTTTTCTAGGAACAAAGGTGAATGCTGGTAGAGTAACATTTCTGAGAAATCCCCAGCAAAGGAAGGGTAGATGGGGAGAAAGCACAGATAGAGAAAGGTTGTGAAGACTCATGAAGAGTTGCTATAAACAGCAAGATGGTAGGAAAAAATAGAATCAAAGACGGTAAAAGTGGAATTCTCTGCTGTAAATACATCTGCTGTATTTGGTGATTTGAAAATAATCAGCTCACAGTGATTCCCAAGCTTCAGATGGCAGTATCCATTCTTCAAGCCCAGCTAAAGTACTGGAATAACTCAGAGTAAAACTGCATCCAGTCTCTCTGGTAGCATGATGAAACATTGCTAAATTCAACAGCTCCATGCTCCTGGCACCCAGAGCACTTCCATCCATTTGTACTTGTCCTGCTGATCAGAAGAGCAAGAGGCTACAGGGAGTGCAAGATTTTGGCATTGCAGCAAGACAGGAAGATTATGGAACACAACGTACCCCTGCAGAACAGAGCCAGTAAGCAACTACCTTGTCCAGGGGCTACTGAGCAACAAGCTGTTTAGTGCTTCTACAAACTCTTTAGTGCTACTTACACAGCTCCAGTGTGCATAGGGCTGTTCCTGCCCAGCCCAGCCCCCCTGCAGGGTGTAGACCTCAGCCAGCCTTGGGCCACCTCAGTGCATCTTTGCTTGTACCCATGGCTAGCAATCAGTGTCTTCTCATGGTATGCTTCTGCACCTCTGCTTGGTTGTGGTCTTCGGTCTTCTCCTGGCATGGAACCGCTTGGTCCCAGGCCTGTGGCAATGTATTGTAACCTCTAAGAAGAGTAAAGGAAATAACACATTGAGGGATACCTGGGGGCATGACTTGAGCCTTCGTCTCAGTGAATGGCCATCCTGCCTGGCTGGCTCTTGTGAGCCTTCTCCTGATGGTCCTTCCTAAAACAGCCTGGGCTGCAGCCAAATCTGAGCAGACAGCAGTGCCTTCTGTCCCCAGCGGGCATCAGGCTGCTTGTTAGAATAAACATTCTGGGAGCAAACTAGAAAGAACAAAAGCAGGAAACAAGAGCTGTAACATCTGTCAGCTTCCACTGAGAAGACATTCATCATTCAGTTCCGTTGCTATGAAATCCCTGAAATTTCCCTAACTGATTCAGCATCACATTTCATTGGCTGGTGCAGTGTGCAACTCTCTCAAATATTCATCCACTTTGGCAAGCCCCACCACTATTTATTTACTGCAGATGCACCCAAAGCCCTTCGGCTGCTTTTTCTGGACTCTCTCCTCAGCCACTGAGCATCTCCAGTTGACACCAGTACTCCTCAAGAGATTAAAATGGAGAGAGCATCTGGTGCGTAAGGCCACGGGCTCTCACAGGTGCTGCCAAGGCCCTGCAGCATCAGTTCCTCCATAGCATGGCAGCTCACAGCAGGTTCCTGCACTTACTGTCACAAGGCAGAAACCCAGAAACCCTGACACACTCCTGGAGATGTCTGTGCAGCCCCAGAAGCAGCAATAGCCCTCAGTTCACCTCCCCACAGCCCAAGGCCTTGTTTCCACCCCCAAGACATCAGCCCCAGCCATGCTGTGGGATGCCCTGAGGATCAGCCCTGCTGGTGCTCTCCCTGCTGGGAGGAATTGCCTGTCCCAGGAGGGATCATGAAGGAGTTGCAGGAAAACTATGAGGGAAAGCAATGGTCTCGCAGGAGGGGGGAGCAGGAGCTCATCACCAGCTCTTCCCGCCAAACTCAGCCCCATCGTCACCTTTGTTTACACTTGTGTCCTCATATCACCTTTTCCTCACATGCAATACTTGTGTCTTTTTTTCCCCTAAGACAGTGCATTTTCCTCTTCAATCCATGACGATCAATGCAGCACACAGAAGGAAAGGTGAGTAAAGTTACTTTCAAACAGCAATTAAGAAAACTTAAACTGTTTTAAAAATCCTTATGCGAGCACTCGCTGGGAACTGGCACAAACAAGACACTATCTGCTCTGAGATAGCACAGCACATGTAAATGTGAGCGAGTGGAAAAGCCTCTTCCCTGCCAAAGTATTTGTTGGAGATTCGATAATGAGGTGCCACCACACGACAGCGGGTGAAGGTTCAGATGAACAAGCGGGAACAAGAGACGTGTGGAAGATGCAGGGCTCTGCCTGCTAGGGCTCAGCACGTGGTCCTCCAGGCTTCCAGCAGCTCCACAGAGCAGTTTCACCCTAACAGCACCTAAGGGCTCTGCGTGAGAGAAAGGACAGGCTTGCTGTGGCTGTTTTCATTTATCACAACCGGTCTGAACCTCGCTACCTGACTCAGCACATTCAGCAAGTTGCTTTCCTTCCCTTCCCTCTCCCCTCCCGCTGCCCTGATCAAACAGCGCTGCTTTTAGCTCATTTATCTGCTATTGGGGAGATACGTAATCAGAGCGCGGATGGGAAATACAAAGCGACTCTTTAGAGTGGTTGGTTTGAAAACCGTTCTGGGCACTGATTGTCACGTGTTTCTGCTGCCCTTTTTGCTTTGCTTTCTGCCCCAAGTCTGTCAGAAACAGACAAACTGGAAGTGCTCACAAACCCATCCTGCTTTAGTGAAATCTGTAATTTACATTGATATGTGCCACTCATTGGATGCAGTGGTGAAGACAGAGCCTGGTTCCCCCATCCACCACACAGGGCACCCAGGTGCAGTCTGACTGTAACAAAACACAGACCAAAAATCCTCATTGACTGACTTTAAACAACAGCATCTTCAGTTGGAGCCAACAATTTTAACCAAAGGAAAGGGTTTTTTTTCCTCATGCATTTACAATTCCAATGCTGCTAATAGACTGAAAATATTCACTCTGCTATTAGGAAAAGCAGAGTCACTTCTTAAGTCCTAATTAATTACACCAACTCTGAAATGAGATTTATTGTATCAGTGCCCCTCAGAGGACTTAACCAGCTGTGATCAGAGAGCCTTCCCTAAGGAACAATCTCAGAAAGGAAAGAGAAAATATCCTGCTATAAATCTTTCCACAAAATACTTAATTAAATGGTTTTCCACATCTGCTTATGTGCCCCTTGTGGCAATCTAAGAAATCTAATCCCATTATTAACCTTCTTCCTTTACAATACAGAGAAGAACAAAAAAAAAAAAAAAAAAAAAAAAAAAAGCCAACAACAAACCCAAACAACCAAAACCTTTCTTCCAAGTTGAGATTCTGATCTTTTTTCATTCCATATGAAGGAGGCTAAATATACGATAGCATGGACAACTCCTAATAAGAAGATGGAAGACAAATCTACCCTGACAAAAATAGGTGAAGGTAGGTAGAGGTGCAAATACAATTGAGAAAGGGGATAAGAACACGCAGGAGGCTGACACATGAATAGCTACAGCAAAGCAGGCAACTGAAACCAGACCCCAGCACACACAGACAAAAAAGGAATTCAGTACAAATGCCATTCTTCTTCTGCTTTTGCTCTGTGAGTCTATGGGCATCTGTTCCAAGTCAGGACATTAACTGTATCAGCCCAGCGATGCCGATGCCAGCATCTTCCAATACACATCATTTTTGTGGTTAGATGCAGAAATTGAAGTTTGCTTTTGAAAGTAAACAAAACCCAACCTTTGCTCTGGGTGGTAGCATAGAAACTGCGACCAGAAAGTAGAGCCCCATGGGGGGAACAGCTGCCTCACACCTAGCAGCTGCAGTGAAAGCCACTTTACTTAGGTTCTGTTGGAATCTGCATAAAGGCTAACTAATTGCATTGCAAGCCCATAAAAATGTCAGCATGTTCACAACCCACACACTTACTCATTCTCTGCAGGGATATTCATTCTTGAAACTGCAGCTATAAAAGCAAGAGGACGTCAGAGACATGACTACAGTTTTAACATCAGCATGCCCCTCATACTTTGTGCAAAATTAGGTAGGAAAAAGACACGAGAGCTGAAAATCATGAATAATTCCATAACAATTCAACTGTTAGAAGCACGTGCCTGCCAAACAGAATCCCCAGATCTGCCCTAACTTGTACAAGGCAGTAATTCAGGCTCAGGAAAAGCAAGCACTTCAACAGATAATTTTTAACACACCTACACCAACAAGGAGTGGAATCCCAGGAATGGGTATGGCAAATCCAGGGCAGTGAACGGTTCTTGTGATAAGGAGAGCTAGCATAATATATGATGTAAAATAAAAACTTCAGATACTTTTAATTGCCTAGGTTAAACAGAACCATTTAACGATGTCATATTTCAGTGAGCGTACTGAAACAACTGTGAATCATGGCAAGTTTTTATACTAACAGTGACCGTTAAATAAATGTTTTTCTGACAAAAAAGGCACTGAAGATTTCAGATTAGCTATACTAAGGAGTTGTAGGATGGCTTTTTGTGCATGATCACACACTTTGGAATGATTTCTATTAAAACACTTAAAATGACACCAACGTGCCTGTGTGCAACCACATACTTGAGTACCATAAACACCAAGCAGATAAAGAAACAGCACCGAGGGAGAAAACACAAAGTGAAACTTACCTTGGTGTTGCTGACTTACTTTTACTTTTTTCCAGAATTCAAGGGACAAAGCTGTGCAAACAACCCTGCCAACACAAATGCGTTGCACCACATGGAGAAGCACCACTTGTGTTCTTTGGCTCTGTGTTGAGAATTTGCACTACAAGGGCACAGACCTAACCTCACAAAAGCAAAATACATGGAACGTTCACTGGAAGTATAGAGAGGTTTCCCAATAGGAATGAGCAATTATCATACTGAAATAAATGCACTTACATTTTAGAAAAAACTCACATGCTTCATGTATGTTCTTTATTTTTAAAAAATCTTGACCATAATATAATTGTCTTCTATAAAATTCATTCTTGCAAGCATGTATACTGCAGAGGCTATACCAATACTCTCACATAGAGTAAACTTTGGAAAAAGTTTTAATTAACACTAAATTCCAGCTTATGAAAAAATGAGCTCCTCTGAAGCCTGAGCTGGTAGCACATTGCATGAGCATAATGCTGTTTCATTTATTACAATAACATGTTTTCCAAGAAGATTAACCTGGAGGTGGCTTCTCCCCCAGCACTGTACGTCTGGGCATCTCCATGATCTGAAGAAAATTAAGAACAGGATAAAAAGAATAAGATAAGAATAAACTGAAATAGGCATTTGCAAACAAGTGATAGGGAAATATATTAGTAGGTAAATCAGAAAACAAGGTACCCTCCCACCAGTCCATTTTTCTCTGGAGAATGGCAGTGGTATCCTTCCCAAAGAGTTCCATGTACAAAAGAGTCACAATTTCACAGGAACTCCGAATTTCCCATTCAGCTTCTCTTCTTTGAAATACACATTTTTCCTTACTTATGTCCACTGCCCTCAATCATCCAGTCTCTAAAATGCTTTTCCATCAAGCTTCTGGCTCTCCAGTCACCAACGTTTACAGTGGGGACAATTTTCTGTGGCTTCAACCACTGAACAAAACGTTTCATTTCCAGGTAGCTGCTGTGTTCACTGTAAGGAATCCCTGAAATGAAACAAATCAGAGAGATCTGTTACTCTATCTAACTTCTTGCCAAAATATCTTTGTAAGAATTCCAGCTCAGAAATAATAATTATTATTTTTTTAATTCAAACTAAAGATCTAAAGTTTACAGCTAAATGAAAACAAACATCCAGATTTTATTTCTGGAAAGTTATTTTGCATTGTTACCAAATCAATTGTCAGTGCAAACTGAACAGTCTAACATTTGATTAAATTAATGTTAAAACTTTAAAAGATTCAATTTAATGTATTGATAAGAACTGACAGGGAGAGGAAGACCCACAGTCTTCTCTCTGCAGCACAAGAGTGAGGATGGAATAAAACCTCGGCAAAAAACTGCACTGCCACCAGCATCAGTGGGCCAAGAATTCATCCCTGGAGTTACTGCAAATATCATAGAATCATAGAATGGCCTGGGTTGAAAAGGACCACAATGATCATCTGGTTTCAACCCCCTGCTACGTGCAGGGTCACCAACCAGCAGACCAGGCTGCCCAGAGCCACATCCAGCCTGGCCTTGAATGCCTCCAGGGATGGGGCATCCACAACCTCCTTGGGCAACCTGTTCCATTGCATCACCACCTCTGAGTGAAAACCTTCCTCTTAATATCTAATGTAAATCTCCCCTGTCTCAGCTTAAAACCATTCCCCCTTGTCCTATCACTATCCACCCCTGTAAACAGTCATTCCCTCTCCTGTTTATAT